CGTGGACGCTGAGTTCAATACGCAACTATGCACAAGATCGCGAATCTTTCTAAACGGTGTAACCACGCTTAGGAACATTGAAAACGGCGGCTGCTGCTTATCTCGCATAACTTTTTGATGAAGCATCATGATAAGTTGCAAATTTCAAATTTAGAATCAGCTACTCTAATTAGCCCAGTGTGAAAGTTTTCAGGCTGTTTCCTTTCCTTTCTGATGCAAAATATGGCCTTTCATGGCTCAAAACCTTCTTTGAAGTTTCTACCGTAATTCTACAGTAATTAGGAGAGATGGGTGATTCGAACTCTTCAAAAAGGTACCTAAAGCTTCTTGAAAGACTTCATTACGAGAGAGTTATTAACAATCAAAGAGTAGACACATTTTCTTGAGACAATACATCATAGTATTTTTTGTTGAGTATCCAGAAGTAGAGTGAAATTTTGTTTTCAATAAAACCTAACTCAGAAGAACTTGAAAACGAAAACTGAAATCTTTGATTTCCTCTTTTTCTTTGCTGGGTGTGTTTGTAACTCTGAAGTTAGCTGCTCTTGAAAAAAGAATTGAGAAGATGCTGGTAAAATAAACTCTAAAAATCAAAAAAACTGACTACATGAACACAGATGTTCAAATGTAAACCTTGGTATCTGGCTTTTTTCACAAAATTTACGTTTAGATGGTAGCCATGGAAATTTGGAACCCATATAAGTTGCATAGCAACCAGAGTTTTACTTTTGTCTCATTATTCTGCTTGAATGCTCATTAAACAGAAAAATCTGAGATAATTTGGGATGACTAAGAATTTAAGCTCCGCAGTTGCGAGTATGTGATTGGCATTCACTCCACGCGCTCAAATAAAATAATCTCATATTTTGAATTCAATTTCTTCAAAAAATAATAATTTTGGACAAAATTTTATTTCAATCTGTAGTGACTGAGCAGCACAGGAAACGTTCAAACATCCAAGAACTCATATGAAAAGCCTAGACGATCGATAGCGAAGCACAATTGCTCGCCTTCACTACATGCACTGCTCTCAGTCTTCATGATTGTCATCCTCAGCTGGGGAATGTTGTACTGATCTCGAAATAGTTCCTGCTTTTCAGCAATTCCAAGCATTTGATAGTTATAAGGAATATTCAAAGTAGTCTATCTATAAAATTTTCCCAAAAATCCAACAGTAAATACTGTAATCCGTCCTCACTTTCACATAACTCAATGTGCTATCCATTCTGTTCTCGTGTGGCTACAAGATATTCATAATTGTGTCCTCACTTCACATTTTTGCATAGTCCCACTTATAATCTCTGAAGGCGCTGGAATGGATTCAAATGCCCACGTTTTGCCCTTTCAAGTATTGCTCATAACTCTATGTATTGTACTCTGTGCATTTGAAAAATCGTGACCGATGGTGCGACCGCGCGCGACACGCATGCACCTTCCAACAACCCCGTTTTCTTGGTTTTCTTTATTCGGACAGCTTTTCTGTTTAAGTATGGTAGTATTTTCACAATGGATGTGACTGAGTCGAGCGCTCAGGTGGTGCCTTTTTGTACGAGCGTTTTATGCTCCTGTGGGCGCAAAGACCGCACTCAAATTCGTCGTCACGATTTTATGAATGAACTATAGTATACTATACAAAAAAGCATCCGTAAGAAGTAAGTATTGGGTTGTCCCGAAAGTTCTATCGTTTCATTTTTGAAAATTTGTAACTTTCTGCTGCTTCAACGGATTTGCCCCTAATTTCCTTGCAAAGAAAAAGTCTTCTTCTTTGCAAACATGTTACAGTGAGCTTCTACTATACATTCATTGCAGAGGTAAAAATGGAAAAAGAAGACCACCCGAGCCTTGGCCATTTCAAGTTAGGTCACCAAAAATCTGGAACGCTGCAGAAAATGCAAATGTCAGTACATAAGTTTCATAACCTATTCTTTGCACCTGAGAGAAAACTGTGCTGTTTGAACTTTTCAATGAAAAGTTACGGTTTTTGAGAAACGCCAATTTATTCAATTTTGGCGTTTTCTATTATAAACTCGAAAATTATAACTCACATAGACGTCCAAAGAGCACATTTTTTTCTTAGATGCAGAGGGTAGGTCATAAAACTTATGTATTGATAATGTCAAATTTTTCTGAAGCGCTCCAGATTTTTGGCGATCTATCTTAAAATGTTCAAGGCGCAAGTGGTCCTCTTTTTCCAATTTAAACTTTGTAGAGAATGTATGGTAGAAGCTCATCGAGGTACATCTACGAAGGGGAAGACTTCTTCTTTTCAATAGATTGGAAGAGAAGCAAATCCGTTAAGATAGCAAAAAGTTACAAATTTTCAAAAATGGAACGAAAGCTTTCGGGACAACCTAATATATGCATCAAATAAAAAACATCCCGATATTGTTCTGGAAATCACTCCAAAAATGTATGCCGGAGTTCTTCAAAAAAGAAAGTGACCTGTTTCCACAACGGGTATAATTTTCAGTAGATGTGCAACAATAGATATTCAATAATCTTTCATCACTGACAAATTTGTCAAAAACATGAGTAAGTATTTGTACAGCATAAGAGACGTTTTTACAATAAAGCTGCCGTCCAGAGATCTACAGAAAGAACACCACTACTCAAGAGCAAATAATCAACGAGCGTCTATAAATAATTATGATGTACATAACTTGAGCAGTCAGCACACTGTTACCGTACTATTGACACCAGCCCCAAAGTGCTTTGTGATGATTTAGCACGATACAAAGAATGACAGACGTCAAGAAGGGCGCGAACTTTTTCGAACAGACGACCAATAAAACTTACTTCTTAGAAATTCATGATAGTGTAAGACAGCACATGTTGTTGGATTAAGTGCATGATTTTATGTGAACTTTTAAAAGACAGAACAGTTGCTGTACTTCGTATCCAGCGGCCCGTTTCTACATCTCACAATCGATCCTTTTACGCTTTTAGAGTGAAGTTTTCGTGTGTTGTTTACCAATGCAAATATTTACTCGCTTGACTCAGCGATGACGTCATCGCGACGGAAGCATGTCTCTAGCGATTGTTATGCGTGTGTGCTTTCGCTAGAGATAAGCAATATCGACAAGTTTTGCTCTCAAATGTTTCAAATTTCTTTATGTTAGTTTGGAGTTTCATGAATCTCAAAAAACATTTCTCTCATCCTCACTACTCTTCTCCTATCAAAAATGTGCTCACTTATGTACTTAGTTAGAATAGCTGCCACCAATCAACCACAGTTGGCCTCATTTCCCTGTTTTCCTTCAATTTTCTTTTTCTCGTGCATTTCTTCGTTCTCATCTGCATACCCGAAACGCTTGTTGCTGATAGATAATCTTCAATGCTCAAAAAAAGAGTAATCCTCTAGCTTTTTACTTTTAAATCCCAATTCTTCTCCTTACTTTTTGCATAGTACCTACATTTTTCAAAATTTTTCGTAAAAGGAAGACAAGAACTATGGATGTAACATTGTAACCAATCTAAAACTTAGTCGTTCTGGAAAGAGGAGGTATATGATTGAAAAATGTTCAAATTCAGAAAAATTGACTGCTTTCCATGATTTCCGGTCTAAATTGATATCCATGGAATTTTTGAATCATGCTTTTTTGATAATGCTCATTAGCTATTCGAATTTTTTAGATTCAAGTTTCTTCTTTCAAGAGTGCATGTCGAAGTAACCTGTCTTGTTTTCCATCTGAATCATTAATATTTTACATATTTTCTCGTAAGCTCGTGAAGCAAATAAGGCTTTTCATCACTTAGTTGAAAAAAAAATTTTGCGGAGAGAACTTTAGAAGTTTTGCGGAAATTTGGTCTAGCTTTAGGACTACAAATTAAAGCGGCAGAATGTTGTTTGTTTGAAAAATATTGCAAGGAAAATCGCTAAAAATAGAAAATGCCCGCAAAATGGCTAAAAAAGAAACCAACTGCTATTTTTACATCCGGAAAGTTTTACAAAAATTCTAAATACACATTTAAAACACCTGCTACATGAGTTTCGCCGTTAAATTTTTTGCATAAGTTAGATAATGTCGAATTTTTTGTTCGATTCATCACTTCAAGGGTCTTAAATGCTTGACACTGCCTATGCCAAAAAGTCTAACCTATTCAGCAGTATGTTTTTAGCTTATGTTATCCAACAACAGGTTTTTCAGCGGTGCTCGTAGTTGTAAAATGCGCAGAAGCATGTTCAGTCTAGATCACATAGCAAGATAAGCAAGTCTTCAATCATTTTCTCTTATTTCAGACCGCAGAATTGTTTCCAGGGATTTCATTCGCAACTTTCTTTTCTTTTTTGGTCAGTGCTGAACGTATGCTTTCTTTTCAAATGGAATTCAGGTTATATATCAACACACTTTATAGTTGTCTTGTGGAACTTCATTACGCGATCTTGCACCCGCTACTGTGATCAACATTTTTTCTTTTGAGTTGAAGCAACAAAAATTCTAAAGATTCAATTATAGCGCTCTCAACGCTATAATTGAATGTTTGGAATTTTTCTTGGTTCTTTTCTTATTTGTGAATTTCTACGAATAAATCTGGCTTTTTTTGCTTGTGCTTTTTGCCTTTTCGTTATCTTGATAATTTCATGTGAATGAGCTATTTCTTTTTTAGATGCAGTGAACTACTTTTTGGAAATCTGCACTTATCTAAAACTTCAGCTCAACTGCAGCTTTCTTTAACTACTTCAATTCAGTCAAATGACCAAGCATAGTCTTTGCAAAACTTTTTCAAGTGTGCAAGAGCAAAGACACAAATGAACTGCCGTGTTGGCGCTTTGCTCATAAATTGCCTTTGTTAGCATTAATCACCATTCTTGACGCATGTATTCAGCACATTCTTTGTGTGCAAACGCTCTCCTCTAGCCCTTTGTAGGCGCAAAGTCGTTCTGAAACATGTAGTTCCTGGTTCCAGCATGGCCCTATGAGTTTATTGCATTTTATTTTGTGAATGGCATTCGCGTCCATGCTTGTTTTAGAAATTATAGGGTTTATTAGAGTAATTACAGTAATCTGCACACACTCACATGGGAAGCATCGGCGCGATCCTGCACTTTCGAAAATCAAGGGCTGTACGGCCGAGTAGGCAGGTAAGGCAGCTATTCTAATTATACACTTACTCGAAGATCAGATCATCCCAACAAATGTGGGACCAACATATCTTATCTGCCAAAGAGAAGCCCAAACTAAGCCATTGCACAAGCGGGAACTCAGATTTGAACTCTTGCCCATGTCGTACCCCGCTTGGCGGACCAGTCAGCACGCCGGAGTTTACGGTGTAGGCGAGATTTCAACAGCTATCAATTTGAGCTGCCGCTTTGGCAATGGCTTGGGTAACCTTCTCAGACAATTACAAATACAAGATACTACGTAAGAAACAAGTACCCAAGTACCCAGTACCCAGTATTTTAATGTACTGACTTTCATACACTCATATATCAAATTCTAGGTGCAAACTCAAAATGGCGTCGTAGAGGGATTTCGTTTGGACATCGGTTCTGGTAAAGACGTTGACCTTTTTCTAGGAATACCTTTTGCTAGCCCTCCATTGGGCGAACTTCGTTTCAAGGTCCGTTCTTTTTTGATCTACTCGGCACAAATCCCTTATAAAACTTTTACTACAGAAACCACAACCTCCGCAGAATTGGGAAGGAGTACGTAAATGCGTAACATTCGGTCCACGTGCTCCACAAGCAGATTTTATATGGGAACGAATCACATTGGGAAGGAAGAGTGAAGACTGTCTCTATCTTAATGTCTTCACGCCCACATGGAAATCAGAAGAAGACGAGGTAGCGAAACAATTTCATTTTGAGATTTTTAAAGGATAATGGCGGAGAACAATCCGGGTATTTTCATCTATCATTGCTGTACTGACACATTTTTATCGTACCAAACCTTCTTTTAAATGCCAGCAGCCTCGGACGCGTCGCTACGCAGGCAAACTGCGAAGCGGTCATTTTCCATGCGGGATTCTCTTGCGCGTTCGCGTTTTGTAACTGGCATGTACACTTGAAAGAAAAGCCATGCATTTATTTATTGGAAGCATTTGCTGGATAAGAAAATGCAGAAAGATGGAGCAAAAACTGAAATATTATTGCGTTCGTTTTGTCCCAGTAGACACCTGGTTGACGATCTTTTGAACTGGAGCAGGCCAGTTGCGGTGGAGCACGGCACCCTTCCCTCCATTTGATTTTTAGTTGGTGCTGTATTCTACTTCGAACGGCCTGCTACAGTCTAAACTCGAAATAATCGATCAAGTGCCTACTGGATGAGGACGACCATGCAGTCAAAAGAAACTACAGTAACCTTTACCTTCCAGGCAGGTCATAGCGTCATGGTTTACGTCCATGGGGGAGGTTACCTGATAGACTCTGCAGTCAAATATGGTGACAAAGGAATAGCAAAGTGAGATTACAAACAATTCCAGTTTCCGCCCAAATCTTAGTTACTATTTAGATATCTTTGTCGACACAACGTCGTTGTGGTTACCATACAGTATCGCCTAGGATTACTAGGATTCTTTTCAACTGGTGATGATGTATGTCCTGGAAACCTCGGTCTATGGGATATGACTATGGCTTTGCAATGGGTTCATGTAAGTTTATTTGCCGTATTTTCGAGAATTTGGGACTTCTAGCTCCTCACAGTCGTTACCCAGTATGGTTATGAAGGCGCTAAATCCAACTCAAACATGATTTTGTCTCATTTAGGACAATATCAAGGCCTTTGGTGGAAATCCAAACAAAGTCACAGTGTTCGGGCAAAGCGCCGGCGGAGCTAGTGTCGATATATTGGCTCTTAGTCCTCATTCCAGAGGTAAGGCATAGCTATCACAAACGCAGGTAACGCAGATTATGCGTCCGTTGCTGCGGCGCGGTTCTACTGCCTTTGTCTCGATGAGAGCGCTGCAGTTGCTACTGCAAATCACAAATGTCTTTCTTGAGGATCTGGGCTGATTTCTGCGATTACACTTCAGTGTTTTTAGATTTATTCCAACAAGTGGCGCCCATGGCTGGCAATGCAGAATGCACTTGGAGTACTGTAAATCGAACGAGGCTCGTAGAGTCTTGCAAAGAATTTGCACGAAGAAGAGGATGGCAAGGTGGGAAATGGCTAAGTGCACTTTTACGTAACGATTTCTATACCTATTTATTTAGATACCCAAACAAGTGAGAGCATGTTAGAGCACCTCAAAAACCGTAAAGTCAGGGAATTCGAGAGGCGCCTTATTACTGCAAAGGTATGGACTTATCAAAGTCAACTTCTGGTCATCTAATATTATCTATAAAGGGTATGGATGTGTCAAAAATTGGCCTCGACTTGGCGCCAAGCGTTGGCATAGCTCCAGAAGATTTCCTTCCAAAAAGCATTGATGAATTGCGGGCAGAAGCCCCTAAAAAGAGATGCCTTATCGGGACCTGCCAACACGAAGGGCTTCTTTTTGGTGAGTTGAAAAGTTGAAAAATTTTCTCACTTATTACATCAGTTTGTTGATTACTATAATCTTAACCGGTCTTTCTATTCAGCAACGCTATCCCCTGGTAATTTCAATATGAAAGGATTTGAAAAGTTGCTGTCTATAGTCATTACTCCCGAAAATCACGCGAATTACGAGGATTTGCGCAGGCAAGCAAGAGAACTATATCTGCATGGGGTAAATCTTGACAATAAAGTTGAAGTAGCCAAGGCTTACGTAAAGGTAAATTTCAAATCTAGCATTTGTTCGAATTTTCCATCACTTATGTATTTTAGTTGTACAGCGATCTTTTTGTGAATAATGGCACCTACAACTATGTTGACAAGATGACTCAATTAGGAAATCGTGTTTATTTGTATTCCTTCGAGTACTTTAATCCGCAGAGTTTTGGAATACTTTCGGTGCGAATGCCATTCAAAGGTAAGTGATTTCTGAAACGAATTGAAAACATAAAATGGAGTATGATATTTATCTAGAGGAGTTTGCACATAATTTTGGATGCATTAATGCAAACAATTGTGAGACTGATGGAGTTTAGAACTTTTCATACTGAACTTCTCCATTATAAAAGCATCAGTCTTCCAATAGCTCAAAACTCTCTCCCTCCATAAAATAACTGCAAATTTTTTCAATAATTGCTGGTGCTTACTTTATGTGCAGTAAGCTTCAAAGGCCCCATGATCTTTCTTGTGATGAGATTAAAGCTCTCGACAAAGCTAAACATTCAAATCTTCTTAAAAGAACGATCAATCATGTATAACCTATATTTTGTGAATTTACCAGGGCAAATCAAGAATCAGAATCAGATGTTACCTTGAAGAGTAACAAGAAAAACGCAATTTCTATTAGATGTGTTGTGTGGAAATCTTTTTTCCGAAGATAGTCGCTTACATTCCTTAATTACTTCTTTACAACTTTTAAACAACTGAATCACTGATCTGAAGGCGTTGAAACATTGGATAGATTTCTTGTATTCTAATCTTTTCGAAATAGGCGTTAAATCTTTTTTTGGATCCTCATCGTGACGTTTTCGAAGCTCTTCCCGGTTTACACATAAAATGAGGAAAGAACAAAAGAAACGCATGTGCTGATTTTATTTCATACAACTCGGCACAAAAAACATCATTTGATGTTTTATTTTTGATTATTGATACTAAATTTCAGGAGCAACCCATTGTACTGAGCTTACTTATCTATTTGGTGTTTCTATCATATTTGGATTCCATTTTACTGAAGCAGATCATAAAATGATAGACTTGATGACGAGGATGTGGACCAACTTTGCGAAATATGGGTAAGCAAAATGCGAGTTTCTCTTTTTCTTCAGCTATTTTACAAACTTCAGTAACCCGAATGGCCCGTACGAAGATTCAACCATGCTCGACTTTCTATGGGAGCCAACGACGAAGTCCGATTGTGCAAAGTAAGTAGCAGATTTTTTTAAATTGTGTGCCATTCAACATTTTCAGATACCTGAGAATCAGTGAGAAGTGCGAAATGAGATCTAACTACGAAGAGAAAAGAGCTGAGTTTTGGAAGAACATACGCATCACCTCTAAAGGCTGTTAAAAAATTTATTTTTGCGTAATTTTCCCTTTCATCAATAATTGCTCATTATGATATGTATGGATGTATCTTACAGTCATTTCACATATATCTGAAATCATTTTTTATTGTACTGGCTAGCTGTACACGGGTTTGAATTATATCTGGTCATATTAATAAGAGATGAGTATCTGTGCATATTGTACAATGTTGAGAAAAAAGAATAAACATTTTTCTGTGAAGTGTGACGAAGTTCAGTGACAGCAGAGGAAGTTCGGCTCGCCATTGTTCTGCAATTACGGCATAAACTTTGCAACTCAGTTTATTGCTTACTTTTTCGAAATCCGTGACGCTTTCACGGCATTGGTAGTCGTCTGGGCACATATCGTCACCTTTGTAGTTCGGATTACACAGTATCGGTAGAGCAGCTGGTTTTCCAGCAGGACAAACTAAATAATTTCTGAAGCTTTGAGAAAAAAATTTTTCAGCGATTTTTTTTTCAGAATGACCATAAAATCTACTAAACAGACCAGGTTGCACTGCTCCTTCTTTTGGTTCACAGCATACTCGTTGCATCCTAGTCAAACTATATACACATGCACCAGAACTGCAATCGTTTTCGGATTTACATGATGTTGTAGCGTGAAGAAACGGCAGGTAGCAGTCCGGTACTAAAGAAAAACATTTCTTTTCTAAAGTGCCACGGAAGAATCGGTTCTCCGGTATATCTTGTTATTTATTTCTTGGCTGAAACAGGAAATTGCGCGCAAAAAAGTTGTTCGATGTAATTTTTTGCCATCGGCTTATTTCCATTGAAGCTTATGAGTTTCGGGACCCAAATGACCATTAAAATCATTCAAGTACCAATTTTTTTTATCCATTCTCGAGAATCTGTAGCAAAACGAAATGTTTCAATTTTTCTTGCGTATTTGCAAAATATATATTCCCAATTTTTTCCAATGAAGTCCGAAAGGTGCAAAATTTTTCTTTGCTGCCACTCTTATTTTATCATCTTTTATTTTGCTTTTTTTGAACTGAAATATGCAATGAATTTCACATTGAGGTTCTAGTCAAACAGAAGGACTTTTATTCGTTGAGGATGAAAAACAGCTGAATTTAGTTTTTGTAAAATTAGTACAAAATTGCGATCAAATTAGATGCTTTTTGTGCGTAGCAGAGCCGATTAATTCGCCAAAATACAACTGAAATTTTTTGGTTGTAATTCGCTCTCAGCTTACATGAATTTGCAGAGTCATGCTATAAAATACTTTTGTAGAAAATAGTAAATAAGATTACAGCAACGATCTAAGTCGTGATTGTTTATGACTTAAAATTCTCAAATAATTCTTATTTATTCTCAATTTTCCCAAAACCAAAATGTTCACACCTGCTGAAGCGCAAGCAATTAGCAGAATAATAATAGCGAATATCATCACGAAAATCCGGATGCGAGAGTCTCTTTACAGACGATGTTCAACGGTTTTTATAGCGACATCGACAGCATTGTGCTCGTGGCTCATTGTTTGTTGATTTTTTGATTTGAAGCTTGGCCCGACCTGAGCCTACCAACATCAAAGCATGGCATAGGAAAAGCGACCGCCCTCTCGTATTCATCAATTCGTGTGCCGTGAGGTCTTCGCGCCCGATGAATGAAAAAGTTCTGAAAGAGAGAGTTATTTCCGGCGCCTGGAATCCTTTGCCATGGGGTTGTTATTGGAAAATTCTTTGCTATTTGAGGTTTATTGCTGTTTGCGGCGACGATCCAGCACAATAGCATAGCAACAAAGATCCAACTTATAAAGATATGGAGCAAGCTAATGAATTCTTCAATCTTTGATCCGTTTCAGAGTTATGGAGCTATGAGATCGTTTGAATCATAGATTAGCCTTTTTTTTAAATTTTGTACTTAAATTAATTATCACTATTAGTTATGAGTTGTTCTATCACAGCGTTGAAGTGCAAAGCGAAAAAAATGAAGACTCGCAAGAACTTAAAGACTTGAACTATACACAGATCAGTGGAAGTGGAACTATACACAGACTGATTTATTGGAAGTACTGTTGAGCCACATCTCAAAATCTCTTATAAAGTGATTTTGAAGAAGGTCACGAACACAGAAGCACAACATCAATTTTGCATCATGGGATCAAACAGTATTGGATTCCCACCTCTAAATTCAAACGTGTAAAAAATGAAAAGCATTTGAGATGCAAATGTAAAGATTTCGGAATAGGACAGCTAGAACCGCTGACCGCTGAAATGTTCTTGCGAATTTCCTTTCATCAGCTAGCAAAAACAGACTTACTAGTTTGCAAGTTACGAACAATAGTTGTCTTTATGGGTTTACCACAACCACAATGACGACATTGATGTAATTCTGTATACACGTTTTGTTCTTGAATAAAGTTTACATAGAACACTTAGGTAGTAGTTTTTTTGAACCAGTCGCATAAAATCCGGAGAGCAAGTGGCATGATCTCGAAAACCTTTTCTCGAATGGGCAAAGCTTGTGCTAATCGTGCTTCTTTAGAGTTACTATTTCCGAGAAGACGATACGAAATGATGAAATAAATTCTTTGGTGTATTCCTCCAAAAGCCCACTATGTAGAGTGATCAGCACAGACTTTGCTAAAGACAAGAAGTAACTAGAGCTCAAGCACTCGGGTTAGATTTCAAGATTTTCAGATTTTTAGCATGCTTGCTCAGAACCTTCGAAACCTGCATGATTTTCTTCATCTCCTTCTATCTTTGCAACAGATGTTCGGTAGAATGCCGCCTAGTTCTTGCAATTTCCTCTTCTTACAAGATTCGATGTTAGGCAAAACTGTTGTGTTAGAGAGAAGTTCCGTTCTTTAAGTAATGATGCGGAAGAACTTTTCTAGGCGAATATAAACTTGAAATGGCTTCGCTTCCTCTCGTTTAGTAATCGCATTGTATCTGTTTTCAAGCTTCCCATGTCAATGTTACGCCCAATAAAAGGACGAACCTCGCCAGCTTGGGCCATGTGTTCTCTCGAACAGATGCGCAAATAAGTGTTCAGGATGGCAAAAAAGCAGACCTGATGACATCACAAAAAGAGCGCGTTCGATGCTAGTATCATATTTGCTAATATGAACAAAGGATTGAGTCATTTGCAGTTAGCTGCCAAAAACAAGCACGGTCGGAGGGCTTGAACTGTTTCTGGCGGGAACGTAAACGCAGGGTAGTATGACCACTTTCATAATAATCCCGATCTCAAGTGAAAGTCAAGGAAGGTCAGTTCCATTTTCTAATAACATAGTTGTTTTATCTATAACATCTGACTCTTAATTTCGACTCAGATGAGGTTTTTTAAAACGTTTCCGACCACCACGTAGCTTGCGCAGAACAGCACGGTCTATCCATTAACCCAGGAAGAGGCCTTAATCTTAAGTACAATATAAGTAATCGGAATGTCAAATAACCCCGTGTACAAAGTTTCAGAAAGATAGACATTGCTATATTTCGATAAAACCTGTTTTGGAAATCAAGAAATTGATGAAGCCTGTGATTCGCCATGTGTATCACGCCGCCCGAGACTCGTAAAGAATCTTTGAAGTGCCCACAGATATGACAACGGACTGAGACATACTCGCGAGATTCCTCGAGTTCGCGAATTCTGCCGATTTTCACCGCAGAGTGTAGATTCCTTTACATTTACTGTTCTAGATATTTGTGGAACCCATTGCTTGCAATATACACTGTGTTACACAACACCACATGCGATAATCACGTCCCATCATATACCTACCGTATTTCATTTGTTGATCTCATCAAGCTGAATTTCAAGTATAAGATTCTATGAGAAGTTGTGATCAAACTCCGTGAATCCAGCGATTCCCGCGAGTAGTCGTATTAGATGTCGTTCGTAAATTCTGCGAAAAGCTTACTCAATACAGCAATCAAATATGACATTTTTGAACACTTGCCATACCATGCTCCATCATGTAGGAGTATGTTCCGCTGAATAAGCGCTGTAGAAATTAGCCAGTACACTACTGAATCATCCGTTAACTTTGCAAGTTCTATTTTGTACATAATGCTGTATGAATTCGCAATATTGTAATTTTCTGCAAATCAGTATCTATTTTTGCCAGGCAGATTTCGGTTAAACAGTAGTGGAAAGCAGCTTGAATCAACAATTAGCACTTCTTTCTTTCGTCCTCCGTTCAAATTCTCGTTTTGTATCATCCCATGCTTTCGTGCATTATTTCTACTTTTTTAGATTCCAAGATGCAAATATCTCCAGCATAAATTCCAGCAGTTTTCGTCAACTTCAAGAGACGTGTAGATTGAACTTCTTACAATAATGTAATGCACTTTTAGGAGAGGTTGGGGAGGATTGACGCTGACTTACGAATTTAGGCTTATATCCAAATCTTCACTAGTGATCAGATAGAGCTTCGCGCAAGAAGGTCAAGGAAAGAAAATTGATACGGGAGGGCAGATCTGACTCTTATTACCTTCGGACTTCTGAAAACGTCTTCAGTTTTGACCAGCTCACAAAATTTAGGTTACACTAGTGAAAATTGTGACCCAGTTCATCATAATACAGCACTCCACACGCTGCTTTACAGATTTTTTTATACGCTGAAGTTCGACACGGAACTCCAATAGGCAATGTTAACACTCCATCACATAACGTTGTATTTCCATTCTATCAAGTATTTAGGTGCTTCAACAATTTTTCTGCTATGTCTACTTTTTCTTTTCCCATGTTGAACAGTTGTAGTTTTTGAAAGTGATGAGAGCATCAGCATGTTGTTTGAAGCAGTCCCATTCAAGTTTGGTAATTTTCTGCAATAGATATTTTTGAATCTTTCGCTCGAAGAAAGCGAAAAATAAGGCAACAACGAATTGAGAAAGATTTTAGTTTTTGAATAGATGTGACTTACGTCATATAGCTTTTTACACAATTGTTGGATGAGTGCCTTGGTCGTTACTGCAGCTGCCGTTTCATATCCCTTGTCCAGCACAGCGGCCTTCTTTTTACCATTTTTCTTTGCCTTTTTCACATCCGTCATGATCTAAAATTCATATGAAACTATTAGTGCATCTACGCTAGTTCAGAATCGAAATTATAACTGAATATCTTACCGCATCATAGGCTTTTGTAAGAACGGTCTTTGCTGGTGGCATAATTTTGTCGATAAGTTTCAACGTAGTCTGCTTTTCCTTCTCCATACATTTGTCCACTAAAAATACAAGTATTGAGAAATATGACATTAGCTATGGGCGCTCAAGCACATTGGCAAGTAGGTCTGACGGAAAAGTAGCGTGTCTGCGGTGCCGAATTCGCCGACAACATTTGCGCGTGAACATTTGGCCAGGGTGACATAAAACCTCGGAACTGTGAGCTTTGCAACCATTTGGCTGCGCAAATTGCCGGTATAAAGGCGTAGCAAGTTGTTCACGCGCTAATGTTGTCGGCAAACGTGGCACCGCAAGAACACTATATTTGCCGTCAGGTTTGCCAGCTTAATATGCCACACTGTATAACTGCAAACTTTTTACTGTCCGAACCTTTCATTTCATGTATGAATTCCAGAAAATCTCATAGCCTTCTCTTCAAAAGAACTCATACTTTTTTTTTCATACTATATCTCAACTTAGACTTCGTTCGAGTTACCTGTCCTTGTGCCAGCGCCGTGCCCGCGCCTTTTGAACGAACCCATTGTTCACGATCGAAACGCCGGCACGGCGCTAGCACGGCTCTGACACAGGCTTTGGGCGCAGACCTAGTTTGGAATTTCTTTGCGTACAAAAGTGAATCTTGTACAGTTAACACAATTCTCTAACAAATCCTTTCCTTTACATTTTTTCAATAGCATTATGCGACCTAGATGTCATAAGCGTATTTGAAAAAATGGGGAGATTACAGAAAAGCCCTTGCACAAGAGGTTTTGACTAGCCTTATAAAATCTCTAGAACACTTACTTTTGGTCATCATACCCATGAGAGTCGTATATTTGCTCATAGGGACACAATTCAACGCACATGGGATACATTCTGAAGTTCACTAGATCGTGGTACTGTACAAAAGAAGTACTAATTCACTTACGGTCGGCTACTTTGTCTATAGTGGCTTCGTTGTAGAACTCGTCATCTATGCAATCAGTAAACTATAAAATTATTTCATTTGATGGGTTTATTCAGCTGAAAAAATCACTCACTTTAGCAATTTCTGCCACAGTAAGGAAGGCTATACCCAAGCTCTTGGCTTTGGAATCGAATTTACTCTTAGGTGTTTGAGCATGGACATACACAATGGCCAAGATCACAGCGGCTACAATCGTGTAAGCGCGCATCTGAGAAAATAAGGGATTTGTTTGATGATGTGAAGATGTAATAATGTGAAGATAATAAAAAAGGTTGTGATTTTTATAGAGCACTCAACAATTGATGAAAGACTATTTTGAGGTGCTTATATATGTTGTAGTAGCAGTGTAATCCTCGCGCTATATTCCTAATTGGCGAGCAGGATCAGGCAGATCTACAGTGCAGAGGTCAGCCAGTTTATCGCACCTGGCTAAAATTATGTGATAATTTGTTGAAAATATTCCGGTTTTTGCAGAATGGATGACTATGGTACAGATGATGGATCTTCGCCATTTCTACTAACAAGTTATGGCGACTAACGTGCTGGTAATTTTCAATTTGCTTCCACTTGGTACTGCTTTTGACTAAAACTTGTCTTTCTTCGTGATCCTTTTGGATGAAACATCTGAGGCAATCGACACTTTGCAGGATGGAGATCTTTCTATAAAAAACAGAAGAACTCACATCTTTATATCCTGCTTCAGTCGATCGTCGCCCGCTATGTGAAGTCGAAGTCGTCGGAAATGTTTGAATTTGAATACATAACAGAGCTGAAGTTGAACATTTCGCCTTCTATTTATGGTTTTTCCGTAGACATTCGCGGACTACTTTCCTTTTATTTACTGTTTTGTAACAGTCTTTGTAATGTTTATATGAAATCTGACAAATTTGATAATGTGGAAAATGTTCTTGCACCTACAAAATGTTCTTGCTAGATCCCCAGGAAGTGTGATTTTGGTGGCTATCTGCATCATTACAGGAGAAGACTGTTAGTGCTCGAGACAAAACTAACAATGAAAGCAAGCTCTGCAAGATGGCGTTTAAAAAAACTTGATCCGCATTGAGTTTGAAGTCAGATAAAATTCTAATTTTTCGGAAAAACAAAAATAACCGTATATCACTTCAAGAAAATTCTGCGAATTGCCCACTTGCCCCACATATACTCTTCTCACAGATAGTACATACACTTGCTGCAATTTTTGATGGCAAGAAATTCGAAAAAATTGAGCGTTGAATTTTAAACTTTGCTTGTAGTGGCCCTGTGTTTCTCGCAGATATGTGATTATATAGCTAATTCACTAATTCAGAAATACTGCCTCAAATTTGCACCCTTGCAGGCGCCCTAGTTGAAAAATTTTATTTGAAGGTTCGAATGTGAAGGGATTTGTGGGATATCCTAATTATACCGGAGTTCCGAAGCTAGCAAACACAGCGGGAGCAAGATCGTGGTCAGATTCATAACAGAAATGAGAATCTCAATTTGACTTAGATCTGTTTACTGCAACCATCAGAAATATTGAACACTGATAATTATAAACTGGATGTACACAGGTGATCTCCTTTCATCACCATCTTACATGCTTGCTCACAAATACGCTCTAAATAGAACTATAGAGCATTGAAGATAAGTTGAATAGCCAATTTATAACATAACCAGCATAGACCTGATAAGAAGCCGATCGAGAAACTTGCCATGGTACATGTAAATAGTTTGCATTGCTCCTTTCCGACCGTTTTTCTTCGCTAAAAATCAAACTTCTGAACTTCACAACTTACCCAGCCTCCTCTTAGGGCAAGAGCACTTCATCTTAACATTTTTCATATAGTACTGAAGGCAAGTCCTCGAGTACGGAAAATTAAACGGTGCGCGGAAGTTCGAGTTGCGTCCCTTGACCACAGATGAATAAATTACGCCTCGGCTGGGCAAGGGTTCAATTAATAAATTCAGATAATCAAAATTACCTGAATATTACTTCTAATGATCTTTGATACCAACTCACAAAACTTGTAGTTCAGTACGTATTTACGTAATATGTGCAATTATGCTGCAAGACATGACTGCGTGGAAGCACGATTTTGTTGACTGAGAACTCGAAAAAGACTGAAATTGTTCAGTAATAGCGAACAGATCTGTTGAACAAAAGTGCGAAATCTATTCGGGGTCTCGTTATTGTATATTTTTGAATTTACTTGCCTAAGGGTGCTTCCAAATATGTTCATTCCTGCTGTTGTGTTGAAAACAGTCTTCGACTTAAAGAAAGCTGAAAGCAAAAGATACTGTAAGCCCGGGTTAAATTAATGCAGAGCGTGAAAGGAACTCTTCATTGTTTGGTATAACAACTTTATAATGGTTTAGCATGAAAATGAGGATATTTTCACATGATTTACTGAAAAAACAACCGCATATTGGGTTCCTGGTCGTTATATAAAGACATCCTTCTTTCCTCTTTCGTCGCTCTCCCACTTTCCGGCTCTGCGCTATGCATCAGCTATTGTTGGCACAATATCTCTATTGAGAATTTGAAACAATCGAAGTTTTCAACTCATTATGACCCCAATTTGATGTATTCACAGTTCATTGTGAATATTTTCTTTCCACTGTTTTCCTATATTTCCAAACACATTATTCACTCGAGAACAAGCCGAAAAGATGCTCTATAAATACTGAGAGCATTTTACATGATAGCCTCTCAAGCTTCAGAAGTACACTTCCTTTACCAAAAGGGACGATCAAGGCCTTCATCCAAGGCCAATACAAAACTTGGCCGCTGGCGCTAAAACCGCATTTAGCTGACGTGCATGCTTTCGCGCATGGGTCCCTGCGCGAAGGCAAGCATCTCGATATAAGTTGTTCGCTGTATTTAGGAGACGCCTGAAGATGGATTTCTCAAGTAAATGAACCATTTGCGCTGCTGCATAGTCAGAGCCTCTTATTGAATTCTACAAAAAAGGGGTTTATAAGTTATTTGCAGAGGTTCCTTCGGCCAGACTCCGCCATCCTTCGGCTACTTCCCTCCAAAACCGTCTGGATGTACTTCCGAGGATCCTGCTGCAAAGCCGTTTTGCAGTTGGCGTTTACAGCTAGTCATGAGTTGCAAGCTAATGTTCTACAAAGCTTTTCTTCCTTTCCTTGAGCTCTTTATTCAAAACGTCTTTAAATGAGTTACGAGTTTCTTTCAAAAATCGTCGAGGCAAACTGCACTTTTTTTCGAAAAGGTCGTGGATCTTGCCTTGCCCAACAACAGCTTCTTAAAAGGTCCTTTAAGGTTAGAGTAAACTATACCAGATGAGACTGCTAGATAAACTTGACAACATCTTTGAATCTGGAACTTATATTTATACTTCGACAGTGCTACTATTCAAACATTAATCAGTAATTATGATGGAAAATACTACTACTGGCTATTATACAGGGGGGTGAGTGACTTTTCATACGATGAGCATTTCCGAGGTGCGAGGTGTGTGAACACCTACGGCTAGTGTGAACACTCGCACTTCGGCGTCTAGTATACTGTGAGGTAAGATTTGGGGGGGGGGGGGGGTAGAGGGACTTTTCATACGATTGCTTCCAATTAACCTGACCTTTTGGCAACGATTCAGTAAGATTTGGCACTATGCCAGATTTGGCCCTGCTGGCTCCATACCAAAGAATGAAGCATCTAGAATAGGTTATGCAGCACAGCGAAATCAGAAAAAAGGGAATTTGAAGGCTGTGGAATAAGTACTCTGAAAGATAACATTGCACTTACAGGGTCCGATCTTCCCTACCCTCAACCCCCCAATTCAAACGCGAAGTCCAGCTGACATAAATCTCGTAGTGGGAAATTCTCCAAAATAAAAGTTTCCAAAACTAAAAATTCCAAACTCATTGCATTTTTTGCCTTTGCTTTCACTCAACTATCATAGAAAAAACCAACTAAAACTGAAAGCAAAATTCTTGCAAAAACTGAGTCTTCACTAAGAAATTCTTTCTACAGAATTTTTCACTACCTTGGATCTAATCGTTTTTTATGAAAAAGTGTCACATGCTCCATCCGACTTTTTAGCATAACCTGGAAGTGTTGCTTTTCCATAAGAGTTAAGAAAATAGGACTTGACGAAAGTATTATCAGGCCTATCAATTGTCTAAATGATTGCGCTCATCAGTGGCTACATATTGCCCCAGAATAAATACGCAACGAGCTGAAAACTCTATCATTAGGCTAAACTGAATCGCTGATCAATATAAAATTATATATCAATATAAAATTTGCACTTCACCGTAAGACTTTTTTCTTAAGTTACGTCAAATAAATCACAGCGACGTTTTTTCAGTTTTTAGAATGTTGGTTTCATTACTATAGGATTACGGTAGGAACTTTTAGCATACAGCGCATTGTGAAATAGGCCGTTTTTTTCTCTTTTTTTTTTCTTGAGTTACGCCAGATGAACCACAACAACGTTTTTTTTCAGTGTTTTTCAAAATATCGATTGGACCATTGAAGTTCTCAAAAACTTATATATAGTTGTCTGATGAAGTCAGCATGTCTAAAAACACTGCCTCACAACATTTCAGATTTTTTTGGAACTTTTTGTTCAAACGGCCTATTTCACAATGCGCTGTATGCTAAAAGTTCCTACCGTAATCCTATAGTAATGAAACCAACATTCTAAAAAATTGAAAAAACGTCGCTGTGATTTATTTGGCGTAACTTAAGAAAAAAGTCATACGGTGAAGTACAAATTTTATAATAATAATCAGCGATTCAGTTTAGCCTAATAATAGCGTTTTCGGCTCGTTGCGTATCTATTATGGGGCAATGTGTAGCCACTGATGGCTCAAGACTCTCTTCAAAGTTCCTGCCCTAATCCTACAGTAATAAAAGGAGTTGAATGATTCGCTCCATACTGTAAATCTAAGCTGAAGCCTCCTCTACTGAATGTTACTTGAAGCTAAGGAAAAGACTTAGTGGGAAGAAAGATATCAACAATCAAAAAGTATGTACTTACTTTTGTGACACCCTCTATATCACTAGGTCAGACAGGTGGTGAATTGGAAGAAACGCTTTTTAGTATCGTATTTTTTGGTACGCGCAACCAAATGAAATTTTTTTCTTCAATCAATGAAATCAGAGGATAGTAACTTCATTATTATAGGTTGTTCATGTAGCGGATGGCTCCTTATCTTTATCCCCATTTGTTGTAAGTCTTTGTCCAAATTTTTTTGGATTCACACCAACTACTCGGTTGATTTTGGATCACTTTTTTGTTGTGAGCGATTTAGCGAAAAATTCTAAACTCTATCATCATAACTCAGTTCTAGACTCTGCTGAATCCAGATATGTCAATGACGACTTCTGATCTTGACTGGATTCTAAACATCTCAATTAAGCTGTCACTCAGCCATAATTTTCAATTTGGGATGTAGTGCTTGAATAAGCTTAACTTGGAAAACTATGATTGATTATGTTTCGAAATTTTGCACTTACGCTCAAAGAGAATTCTGCGCATATTATTCTAAGAAAGAAACCTGATTTCGTATATCAAATCTGAATAGCTATTGGCATGTTAAGTGACCAAAGGAAACCAATGCCTTGCTCGGATCGTAGTGAAGCCCTCGTTCTGTTGGTAAACATTAGTGACTTTGTTCACGTTCAGCGTAATTACTGCTATTACTACATCAGTATGGGGAACATACAGCTATTATTCCAGTCACCTAACTTCCTGAATGCTTTGAATTTTTGCTGGAGAAAATATTACGTAGATCAAGCAGCATATTAGCTAGATTTGGTGGAGTAGTGGCCACAGTATTAGCTTGGTCAAATAAAATACGATAAATTGTAGCTTGTCGAGCGGTGTTCAGGTTGAATAGGTATTTATGCGGGAACCTTAGAGTGGTCTTAACTAAGCATTGGCCCAAACGGCGCGCATATGACTCATTCGCGGCGGAGATATGCGACTTTAAACCTACGCCCATTACCGTACTCGAGGGCTTCAGTCTGCGCGAGAGAGTACGGTCTGGGCGAGAGTTTGAAACTGCATTTTCGGGAACCATATGAAGTGGTTTATCCCTCAGTCCAATCCCTTAACAAAAGATTAACGTAATTTTTATCATTCATATTAATATATTCGCGGCTACCTTTGACCAAGTAATTATGTTACGAATTAGTTATGTATGTTACGAAAATGCACAGTTCAATCGCAATTATCACCAGAATATGTTTAGATTATCAAATCACATTTGATTGATTTTCGCAATCATCTATGCTCAGCACAACTTTATTTCGCATAAATCGTATCAAGAAGCAATTAATAAATGTGTGTGGAAGCTAGGGTAACTTTTTCTGCACCAGCGGGATACCATTAACCAAGAAGAGCTTGATGATGACTTAATAGAAAGCATAAATTTTCTTTTGAGGGCCTCGTAACTATCCAAGCAGAATTAACGGTTACTGATGAGCTCAGTTCAAGAAGAAGAGGAGGAAGAATACGTGGCAGCTGAAAAACTTTTCGACTTTTTGCTTGGGAAAAAATCACGTGAGCATGCTGATTTTGTGGATATTTGGATAAAGGGAATCATCTAGAGTTGTTGTTGAGAATATCTCAGTTATGGATTTTTTCTTCTGTGGAATTTTTTTTTCGTGAGAATAAAATTCTTTCGCCCTTTTCGGTTCTGTCAAAATCACAAACTTCAAAATAGGCGTGCAGCAATTACCTAAATAACATCTTTTTTGATACATTCATTCGAGGTCATGATAACAAAAAATCTTTGCAGCGTTTAGAATATTTAGGAAAGACTTCCTGCTTTTAGATCACTTGCGAAATGTTTCTTACAAAGAAGGGCATTGCTAAAAATAGATAAATAAATGCTCAAATTTCCGACCTAAACTAGCTTTATTCTTCAAATGATGCGGAGTAGATCCGAGATAAAAGTGCGCTAACACGAGGAACATTCCTCAAAAATATTTCATTAAAGATGTGTGGGAGCATCATGACACTTTGACATGATTGACGTCGAGTTTGCTCTCATTAGCAAATCCGATATAGGCCTGGAACTCAACCTCTTTTCCAGAAAAAAAGAAAGCTTCTCATTATCGATCTACAACTCACAAACTCACTAATTATCAATATTTTTTCTACCCTAGACAATCAGGCCCTTTCAGCTTCATCTAGCTTTCAAAAATACAAAAATCTGTTTTATTCGGTAACTTTCTCACGGTCTCGTAGGCGGGGCTTGATTGAGCCGCGTAAGTAAGGTTGGCACCGCCCATCATCATCGCAGCATTCGAAATGAGCTCACGACACACATACGCTGTATTCTTCATCGCCAGCGTATTAGTGTTACAGTATGTTTGTGCACAAAGGTAAGTCCTACCGTAGTCACTACCGTAATCCATGTTTGAATATGAATTTGCAAATTCGAGTTAGCTTCAGTGCAGTTTTTCTGAGATTTTTTTGGTACTGTCAATCTCGACAAAGACGCCTCTGATTGGTCAGATTATCCCTACCACTTACTGCATTGATAGATTACTGTAGCAAATGAGCTGTTCCAGGAAACAAGCATGAAATGAATTTAGTGGCTCCTGCCATAGCCCAGCTTTGAAATATTTGAATCATTTCATCGCTCGGCTGATTTTGAATGGGTCATGCAAGCCGATGATGAATGCTCTCAACGATACTTTACTATGGCAAAGTTTTCTGCCCAAAATATACCCAACTTTGACAACTACTGTTTACTACCAAAGCCAGTAAGCTTGGAACAGCAGACACTTTACTCCGAAAAGGGTCGACTCATTTTGGTCCATTATTCAGCAATGAATAAAGAGTGCAGTTGTGAAGATTACATTTGGGCAATTATTGTAACCTCAATCTGACAGCGAGATTTTTGAATTACGTTTAATCGTTTATTAAATATCTGTTTTATACGTGATTAGCTGAGAATAAAAGAAGTGAAGTCGATATTCAGAAGAATGTTAGCAAGAGCCTGAATGTGTTAGCCTAGGGCTGCCCGCTGAGTTAATCTCTCAAAAACAAAATGCTTCAGTTTTTTCATTTCTCAAGGCGCAGTCTATACGTCTCCCTTGCTTATGAAATGTTGTAATTTGAAGTTTAGAAATTCAAATGATTTTTCGAGATTCCTATTGCTTTATTTCATAAGAAATTTTTAGCTTTAAGAAGTAACTTGGGAACAAAGCCCATACGTACCTTCCTAATTCTAAGGGCATTCCTAAGAAATGCGTTTAATGTCACTTGCGATTTGTCATGGATCGCTTCTTGTCACAACATGAGAGGGCATGACTGGCTTCATTTTGTGTCTTTTTATGAATAAGATATAACCATAGTATAATTCGATATTAAGGTTAAAGTTAGAACAACTTCATAACCTTCAATACTTACTGGAAATGTTATGATTCTATAAAGTCACTGCAAACAGTGACAGGTCAGCTTTATGACTGATATATTGTTAAGATAAGTCTTCTTGCAAAATTTTTTTGAAATGAAACATTTGTGCTACACATCATTTGTAATTGAGAGTTGCTACTCCTGCTATGTGACGAGTAGAAACAGGACACATTTTTTTTCTTAAACATTTTTTTCTTTTTTGCACTAACTATCACATGAAGGTCGTATGTGTGCACGTTAAGACTAAGCCAATTTACAACAGAGATTGTCTGTATAGAAACATTTCGAAGACTAGATACTTTGAGGGATAAGCAAATCGTAAGTTTTGCTTTTTAGGCATATTTAGACCACTTGACTCAGGTTTGTCACTACAACCCATTATGATTTTAACATCGGGCTTTATGGGAGAACTTCTATACAGATGCTTACTGCAGGAACAAAAAAAAGTTTCTGACAGTTAACTTCATGTAATAGTCATTACTTGTGCCTCACATTCAATCTAATATCATCACTAAAATATGAACTGTACCTTATGCATCATAGATCCGTAATAATTTTGAAAGTGACGTTTTTTTCGGAAAACGTCACTTTTAAAATGGATGTACTCGGATGTATAATTTTTTTCATTTTGCATCCTTTTGGCCGAGATTTATAGATCAATTTTTCTACTCATAATATGTGTAATTCTGTTAACTCAGAACTTTGTAGTTGACGAGGGGTTCTTATAGTCCAACTACGTCAACTTAATAATCAGTAATGGCTTAACGAGCTTAGAAATAAGCATTAGGCGTTAATCCATGTTGATTTTTTTGTATAACCTCGTAATTACATGTGTTATATCTTTTTTTGTAACTCCTACCCTTAGTGTTACACTCCCAAATAGTTGAGCAAGTTTTCGGATAACCTCTCCTGAATTGATGATTTCAGCGATGATTTCCAAGAATTTCACCGTGATGCACGAGCTCCAAAATTCATCCGATTTGGTCGTGGAGGTGGAGCAAAGTTTATTCGATTTGGACGAAGTGGAGCAAATACTTGGGTAGGTCAAAAATGAACTCAACTTTGCATCTTTATCTGAATACGAGGAACAGACTGAGTGATCTGAATGGTGAGAGTAAGTACTAATGTACTATACTGTATACTATATGTACTAGTACTACTATAATGATGCGTAAAGTACTAATTCTTAACTTTTATGTAGCTTTGACATCATAGTTAAGAGGTTTATAGCGTAATTAGGTAGTACTTTTAGTTTCAAAGTACGTGCTAAACTACCTTAATGACTGATTTGAGCTCTATTATCAGTTTTCAAGAAACTGACCGCTTTCATTATATAAGTCGTTACTCGAATATTCTTTCGCTCACGCTTTTCACGCTGCTTGACGTGATGTATATCGTTGAAATTGGATTTGACGTGAACATTCACTTATTACGCATCTGTTTGGTGCATTCGCTGACCCTTTAATAAGCCCGCAAAGTGAAATTCAAGACCTGAATATGTTTCCACTTAACGTGACACTTACACAATCGAGAGCGCGGATGTGATGAATGTGTAATTAAGTAGAAACTGACTACTGACCTCAGTTAGGGGGAATGAGCTCAGAAGAGTCACTTAGTGTAAAGTAGAAAGCAATTTCTGCAGCAATCTAAGGATAAATTTGTCTCTGACTATAGTTTTTTTAGGGAGTAATTTTCGGAAAACAACAATACTTTTTGTTTTTCTTAAAATCTTTAGCAATCTGGTATCGATCGCTTTCATCTCTTCTGAACATAAAAAAATAATCTACTCGATAACTGGCAAGCATTTCTCGTTTCAGCTTCCTGCTCTTGAAAAAAAAACGGAGTGCGACAAATTCTTCTGTTGTGACCATTTATATGGCAGAACTTTTTGGAATTTTATAGCTTTTCACATAGCAATCACTAAAAGAGGCAAGTACATCACTGCATTGCTGACAATTTAGCGAGTCAGAATGTATCTCGTAAATCCGGAAATGTTATTCTTGGAGCTGTTGTGACGTATTTAACGCGACAAAAGCGTTGAAGTTCCTTCAGCAGAAGTGCCATGGACTTGCGAATTTATTCATAGATTTCCAGCAGATTTCTGACTGAGAAAATGTGAAAAATATTTCAAAAGTCATAAATTTGGTTCAAAAAATTACTGAATCATTTTTATCAAATTCAGGCAAAGTTACGGGAAATCTGGATGTATTCTCGATGACTCATACTTTCTTCCGATCATTATAATACTCTTACAGTTTCTCAGTTAACGCTATGATGTCATCTTACATTATCATTTTGCAAGATATTTCGCATAATCGTTATGCATCATCAGTAGTCTCATTACATTATACAAATTACTAAATTGGTATGAAATACCACATTGTAATGGGATTTTCTGGTTTAATGCATTATGTCTGTACCACTCTTTTTTTGGTAATAGATATGAGCAAGAGGTTAATGGAATATTTAGCAGCCGTAAAATGAAACGCTGCTCATTTTAAGGAAAGGAGTGAAATGTTCATTCAAGGCTTGAAAAAGCATGTGAAATTGAACAGTTCATGTAAAGTACAGGAAATTCTTGTGAACTTTTATGTGATTTAGCAAATGTCAAAGGCTTTCGAGCAGAAGAAGCAATTTCTACAAGTGCTCTGAATAGGATTATTGACATGGGATAGATTGTCCCACTTTCCCCTTTTTTTAGGTTCAATAGTCAAGTCTTTTAGAATGTTTTCTAGACTTTCAACATCTCCTCACATTTTCAGAATCGGGAGCCATAGTTAACTTCTCCTCTGGGAAATTCGCTTTTCCGTCTCATAGGGGCTGGTATAATGTTTATCAGTGGATCCACGAAAAGAATACTCGTCAATAACATAAGGGAAAACTATTGAATGTTAAAAAATTGTCAGGAAGTAAAGCAAGTCTTATCTGATTTTGCATTGTATGTATCAGCCTGAACATAAAGGAAGCCGAACTTTGGTACTTAAGTTTCTTTAGTAAAATGATTAGAAAGCCTCAAATAGCCATGGTTGACAGCTGCTGTTATGACTTATTGTGCGCCTACCGTAGCATCTTCTTACGAACCAATGGGAGCCAGGGAATACTGTAGGAAGTACGATCTGGGCGAGAGTTCAAAGTTGAATATTTTGGCCACGAATGAATCATATGAGCTGCCGCTTTGAGCAATGGCTTAGTCAAAATCTTCCAGCTCGTAACTACGTAAGAATTGCAGGTACCCAAATCTGTCTGGACACAGATTTCAGAGTAACCAACTTCATGATCCTTAGGTAGATCTCTACCAATTTGTGCCCCTTTCCTGAACAGCGTCCGAAAAGTGATGCGTGTCCGGCGCGGATGATTCTTTTCTCATAAAGCCACCCACAAATAGCATCGTAGAGTAATTTCCTAGCGATGATTACTAACGACGAGTTCGTGAAACAAAGGTCGTTGTATATTAGCCCTTGCAGCTCTCTCTTGTGCACGATTATATTCGTTGAGCTCAGGATAGAGCTCGACGCAGACGAAGGCACGCATTCGAAGTTGTTTACTAAGTTTTTGAGGGAACCTCCGGCATTTATGAGAGCAAAAGTCGTATTACTTTAACAGGCCACAAAAAATAAAGTGAATATAAAGACGGAGCTCGATTGAAGTGTAGCCTTCTCCTGGTTCCAAGTTAGAACTTGTAGTAATTTGTGTGACTGTAGTAAATCTATAGATATTTGCTTTCAAGCGGCAAAACAGGCTGTATTGAGTTTACTCATCTTTTTCGGTTTGAGTCAGAGTCTTGTGATGGAATAGAAATACGAAATAGAAAAAATCATTTGTCTCTCTTCAAAACCATAAATAAAAAATTCTATGGAGATTGTACGCTATAAAAACTAAGCTTTGAAAGTGTTCGAAAGATGAGGACTAACAAACTCTTCTACTTCCTCTTAATCTCAATCGAATTCTCAAATTTTGGAATGTAGTTTTAAGCCCATAACCCAATATACAAAGAATCGTTAGCTCAATCCAAATTTGCAAGGCGGGAAAGCGGCAGGTCCCGAAGCGAACGCTCTTCCAAATAGCACTTTCAAATACTGGTTCACTAGTTACCAGCAAAGAGTAGGTGCATAAGTTGCTCACTGAAACATTTAAAAGGTAATCATGTTCTTACTACTGACACAATAACTTTTATGCTTAGAATTAAAGGAATACTAATCATTTTTTCCAGAAGATTTACAGTGACATTTAAGTTAAAGTCAGAGTTACTTAAGTAGCGTAATTTGATAGTAGAAGCGTTACAAGCTTTCTAAGAGACCTTTTATTCTCGAAAAACAATGATTCGATAATGAGATTGCATATCTACTGTGTATGCAATACGGTTTGCATCTCTACTTGGGCTAACTGTGTATCATTTTTTTACGCAACATTTAAAGCGGAAAATTGACAGCAGTTTTGCCTCAATATGTGGAACTATACAGAACTATTTCGCTGCTTGTAAAAGCAACACTTCAAGGCCTCTGCAGAACATTCGTCTTTCTCAATAATCTAATCGAAGAAGAGCATAGGAATTCTATGCAAGACTGCACCGAAAGTAAGAAAAGAAAGTTAAGGAAGGAAAATGCTCATCAACTGCCGAATTGCAAAGATTTTCAAGCATTTTCGGATTATCGTTCCTCGGAAAAGAATTCTTTGGGAGAAATTTCTTCCGAATGACCGTCTCATATTCTCACAAAGAATCTTCAATGAGAAATCATTATAATGCAAAGAAGCTTCGCAAAAGCACATCTCACATACATTAGCAGAATTGAAAAGGGACGATTTTATTTATGCAAATTCATCTCTGCTGAAAAATGAATTTTTCGTATCTACTATTCATATAAACGTCATCAAAATTGGTTGAGATTGGAAATTATTTTTCTCAAATTTTTTTATGAATTAAGAAAGTGCAAAAATACGTCTTCAACTTTGTGCTCATTGAAGCAAGTCAAAACCTGTTGGCAAGTAAAAGTTATTGGACGCTTGGTACAATGTCAGGTCTAAATTCGTTGTCAGCTTGAGTAAGAAACTGTACTTAATAGGCAGAAGAATTGATAGAATATTTAATAAAGAAAAAATTATGAAAACCAAATTTTCTTCGTTTGCAGTGCTTACAACATATGATAAATCAAGCTTTTAAACCGAGCGACGGTTTCTGTTAATCAGATAAAAACTAACAACCATCACTATTTTCCAACTTTAATTATCTGAGGAAAAAGGACTCTAAAAAAATGGGGTAAAGCTGCCCCCTGAAAATTTTTGGACACCTTAACATTCTTAAAATCATCTGCTGGTTTCCACTTGATTCTTGACACTTTATACAATCCAAATCAAAATTGTAATAGTGCTTCAATATGTATCTTTAGTTATGGTATGGTGGCGTTTCTTCACATTGATTTTCAATATGTATGATGAAACAAATGTGAAGTCAGAATATAATTGCCAAGATACAAAATTTCGATACAAGATACAAATTATGTTAGTACGAAGCCTGAAAAACTGAATTATGGAAAATCACGCAATTATAGAAGATGCTAAAATTATCAGATTGGTTGGAGATGCTAGAGAATTAGACTTGGCGCCAATTCAATTCAGAAGGCTGTAAAAGGTAATGAAACAATATTTTAATGACAAAAACGATACGCAACGCTTGAAAAGACAGGATCTTTCCATGTTCGCCAAGTTTCCCTTTTCTGAAAGAGGGCAATAAAAAAGTGCACTTCGCCTTTGGATTTCAAGCACAAATATCTATTTATGCACAAATATCTGGAACATTAGCGGCAGTAGTTCATATTTAGAGTCACGTTGTGTAATTGCACTACTTTTTAGACTGAGCTGAGAAGCCCGAATTTAGTATGGGACATTACTGCTACTTTGTGAAATCGTCTTCGTATTACATTTTTATAGTTTTCTAAATAAGTGTGGGTCACCAGCTCGCCCCTGTGGACTACAAAAGTTGTGCACTTACACAAAGCAACCGTAGAAATGACTACTACTGTAAATCACCAGTTTACAACTCCAATTTATTTTTTCATTTCAGGAAAACGATGTGATTGATGACGGTGACTTCGAAGCTTTGCATCAGTACAAGCGAGCAGCGAAGTTCATCCGATTTGGCTGAGCTTGTTGACATGCTATGGCTCTGACATTTTCAATCAGAATTCTAACAACATCATCACCATCATCTGCAGTACAGAAACGACATCGATACTACCAATTATTATTCTATTGTTGATCTCAGCATTAAGTAATATACATATGTTGCACTCGTTCAAAATAAACAGTGTGCGTTAGCAATACGAAAATGCGGGATTTTATCCGAAATTTAAAACATTTTCTAGCATATTTTAAACCTCGTGTCACTTGAACACTACTTCAACTAAAAAAGTACTGTTGTTTTGGGGGTTTTCCGTTTTTTCTTTAGAATTGCTGTAGATTTTTCGTGATGAAAACTCCGGAAGCGCTCAGAAACACCAATCTGAAGCGTAGACGTCCTCTTGATTGCTTGCCAAGATTTCATTACACTTGATTAGATGGAACAGATTACAACAGAACACACACGACTATTTTTTTCGTTGTTGAGCAAATTCAGATGGCTTAGAATCCGTAGGACCAAATGTCTTTGTTTGAAAGCTGCGAGACTACATATCTCTGTTTGCTATGAACTTGGAAAGGTTCTAGGAGATGCAGATCTCAAACTTATATGTTTCAATTTCCAGCAGCTTGAAGTTGCAGCTGTGGTTTGAGATGCTTATACTATTAGGGTATCCCATAATTTTTTTACGGTTTTTGCCCTAAAAATCAGCATTTTCCGAGAACTGAGGCACCTACACAGGGCTCGAATACATGATAGTATTTCCGTACGTATAAGCATTATGATCAGCGTGGGAGGAGCTCAGAACGATTAGGGGCGGAGTTTGCCATTTTACACCATTTTACCTTATTTCTGGCCATGGAGAAGAATGTTCGATGTGTGAAGCATATGCTAAGATAAATGGAAATTTTTTAGATTTTTGAAGCGGACCCACGATTCTTGTCGTTTAAGTTTATTTTGGACTGCTATCAGGTTTCCAAAACTTCACGTGGTATACGATTTGGGCAGACTCTTGAAAGCCATCTTGTAGAGTTGGCTTTGCTATGTCGAATACTCAAGCCACATCAACTGAAGAAAAAGATACAAAGAACACCGGTTGTAGAAAACACGGTAAAAAATTATGGGGCCCACTAATATTTCTTTTTGAATGACTAATGCGGAAAACATTTGTAACATAAATGATAATGGAATGTATCAGTTAACCCACAACCTCATTTGTCTCTTAAAGTTTCTTTTACGGGAGTTAGATTTTATGCGCTATACCTGAATGAATGTCAGATGGACAAATGAAACTTAGTTTCTGAAATGAGATTTGTATCCAACCGTTGCTGGTTTGATACTTACTTCGCGAAATTTCCATTCTGTGAGGCTAGAAATTGATCCCCAACTCACTCAACCCTTCTTAAAAGTTTGCGAGACCTAGAAAATTCGTGTTACACATGTCAAAAAAGGTGGGTATCGTAGATGCACAAGTCAAATTACTATCTTTGTGATGACCAAAGTGCTATTTTGTGGCCTTTTTACATTAGCATCCCGATTTTGCCTTTTCCCATCGCCTCGACTATCTTCTCATACTATTACTGCCCGGATTCAAATCTTATTTTCCACAAGGGTAGTTTAGGCAGTAGATGAGAACCCATAAAAATTCTGCGTATGCTGAGAAATATCTGTTCGTGTACATATATCATGTAGGTTACAGCATTTCAAAGTTAACATGCCAGAAATTTGCTTCATGCAGAAACCTTCAGGAGACGAAGATGGATAATTGTTCACACCTCTTGCTTATTTAACAGTTTGGTATTCACAGTCTTTTACACGCGTTTACATCGACTCAACATTTTTTTGTAGATTCATTTAGATGAACAGCAGAGGGTAGCGGTACCGGGAAAAATTCCTCGGGGGGGGGGGGGGTTCACATGCACCAGAATTTTTTCGAATGAGGGAGAATAGCTCTGGCCATGCTGTCTCGAAGATTTTTTTAAGAAGCTGGTCTGGAGTTCAAACTAAAAATAATTTTCTTTACTTACAGATGAAAATAAGTCATACAAGCCCCATTCCGGATAATTATTCGCTCTACAGTCGACGCTTTAGATCATGTTGGAGAGACTAAAATCTCTTTGATATTTACTTGTAAAGCGAAATAAGACCGAATGTCACTACCTGTTGATCATGCGTACAACACCAAAGATTTATTCGATGAATAGATTTAGGTGACCAGAATGTTTGAGTTGGCATAATGACCCGCATACAGTCAAAAGGGCATTCGAACTATTATTTCTTATGTACATTTGAGTTCACGATTTTTCACCGGTCTAGATATAAAACGCTGTATTCGAAAGAAATCATTGATTTCACTCGTATAGTAGTGTCGATCGTAGTAGTAAGCATCGGCTAACAGAACGTTAATAACTGATTGATCATACCTGAAATTAGCCTTTGTTTTTGGACATTGATTGTGTTCTTGATGTCACTTGAAGTAAATTTATAACAACCTGTGGCAATGAGCAAATGATGAGTATAAATCACTTCTATTGAACTCGCAAATGTTAGGAACGATCGTAGTTCCCATACAATGTTCTTCTAGTGCACAAAGTACGCTCCTGAACTATATATATTTGTGTAATAACATCGAATTATCCATGATTTTCACAACGAGACCATTTCATCAACTCTATCGTTTCCTTCAATCTGACGGCGTACACAAGTCCAGCCTCGAACATCTTTGCCTTCGGCTTGCGAAGCTCCTCCAGGGATACGGGAAAATAAGTATATAGAGCTGAAAAAAGACTTATACAATAGACAATAGAATTTTGCATTGAAAAAAAAGAAAACTGCTTACAAGGGTCAGTAGCAGCATAGATACCATGGCCACTGAAGCTGTGTAATAAATACGGCGACTGAAAAATTTGTATTTTTAATCAGGTATCTTATCTCAAACCAGAGTCAGCTGTAAAAGTAAGTGAGACCTTTCTAACCCTTGATCAACAAAATTACACCAATACGTACAAACTCAATATCACACCAATATAAACTCAAGGTAACCTACAAACAAATTTCAGCAAAACTTTTCCTTCAACCTAACTTGGATCTAATCGCGGGGACTTCCCGTTAAACATTGTAAATATTGAAATGTACCTTCTTGCATTCTTCCAAATTAGCTGTCCATTGGACCGTGTCCCAGGAGTGATTACTAGCAGAGTGGAATTCTCGTAAATCTCGAAGCAGTGACGATGGCATCAGCACCCTGAAAGTGGGTCGTGGCCTCTTAGGAAGGACTTTTCCACAAGGGTATGAAAACGACTAGGTTAGACCAAAACCCACTTACAATCCTTTTTTCGCATGTATAGCAAATCAGTTCTAGTGTTTTTCTGCCTCCCTTAGCTTTCGGCTTTTTGGAACGATATGACAGAAAAACAGAGAGGATTAGGTGGAATTCTGCTTTTGTGGATTCGAAAGTTTGGTGGATGAGATTTTTCAAGTCTACATTATAGCGTAATCACAGCGATTTCTAGAATTGACAGTTTGCAGAAGGCGGGTACACAGTTTAAAAATCTCTAAGTCAACATTTTGAAAGATGGCATTTGTTCCACCCACTCCGTAGTTTCTGTGAAACGTTTAACCTCAAAATAGTCACTACAGTTCAGCGATGTTCATTTATTTCTAGGAAATGTGAGGCAACGAATCTTTTGCCTGGGACTAATTTTATCTAAAACCCTCTTGAGATTAATGCCTCCAGAATAATGACAGCGTGGACATTATAGGGTTGGCCTGATTTTTGACCACTTTATTATCTGTTTATTTATCTACTTGTTCATTTACTTTTTGTACATGAAGTGCGCCTAGTACAATCCTGAAAGTCTTAAAAGAAAGCATTACCATTATTTTATTGTTGACTTTAAGTTCATCCATTATTATTTCAAAGACAAAAATGGCATGGAATCACATGTTTGTAGACCTCTCATTCAACACGAGGTCAGATCTATACAGTCATCAAATTACGCATGTTTTTTCTTAATTTCATGCTTGGATATGAAGGAAGCTCAGCCTAATTTCATATTCAAGTTCTTACCCTGCCCGAGATCTTTGTCTACATTTCAACAAAGCATATATATGTCGCAGATCCTTCTTCATTAGTATGACGGATGTGTCCATATACCATACAGCTGGGTTATCCTTAAGAGCATCCTGGAATGTGAGATATTGAAAGAATGCTGAATACAAAGGTGGTAGGAATGGTGTGATTGCGGACTTTTGGGATGGTGAGTTAGTTTTTCTAGGCTTTCAAGATACCTTGCGCGATTCCGGTTCACAGACTTCAAATGCATAAAACAGCAAGTATTTGCTGTCAACAACACAAAGTAAAATGTGCTTGTGATTATTCAAAACTATTGGACACTGTCAGAAATCTCTCGCATCATTCAAGGTTGGCACCAGCACTCGCGTGCCTCGCACTGCGCATGCGTTGCCGCGCGCAAAAGGGGCAGTGCCAGTTGGACGAACTACATCCAGAGTCAAGGTGTGTAAGCGTTCTGCAGAGGTTTTAACAATATTCAAGACTTACACACCGCGATCACAATCGGCTTCCATCGGAATGTATGTAACAGCAAGAAGCAGCGAGGGTAATGTTCAAATGGGAATGGACGATACTCTACGTTACACCATCGCTTCACTTGCGCAGCTTTCTTCCTCGTTAATCCTATATCATACACAACAACTTTGACTTGTTTGTAGAAGGCTCGAATACTGGCGATCTGCAAAAGAAGAGACTGCGATATGTTTTGGAGTGATATAACTAGCCTAGCACAGAGTAACGTACAAGTCGTTTGCCTTCCATAAAATGTGATTGTGAAAATGCTGTGACAAAAACTGGCTCCGAATTATATGAAACATTTTCGGTTGGGGAGTTGTTTAGCAAGCCTATAAGTATCAGCAGTAATGGACAATCGAATTATAGGTAAGACTCTCTGAATTATTGTTATTGTTAAGGTTGTGTTCAGAGTTGCGCGTGCCAGCCCGTTCCAGCATTATTCCAGCGCCGTGTCGGATATCGATCAATACGCGGGCATCCGCTCGGGTGCCAATACCGTCCTAGCACGGCGCTGGAACCAGATAGCACATCGCCGGCACAAGGGAACTCTAAACGCTGCTAAAAAGTCAAGATATTTTTTTGGCTTTGAGGTTGATGTTGTTTTACTGTGGCGGATTTTTTGAAATTCATGTCCTGCAAAACTTACCAAGTTCTTCTAATTTGTCCAAATAACTGCAGGAGAACTTTTTTCCTACAGCAGAAGAATTGACCTTTGATCTATAGCAAAAATCGTGGCTTCTGCCCTGGACATCGACGCAGTAACAGCTATCACGAATAAACTGAAATTTTCATGTATCAGTATCTATGGGAAAAAACCGAAGCAGACAGTAAGAACAGCACTCACCTCATACGGAAGAAAATAGTGAACAGCCACGACAATTAAGATAATAACTATCAGTCTCAATGCTAATCTAGGAGGCATATTATATGAAGCAGGCTTTCGTCCATCATTGAGCATTTTCACATCCTGAAAAATGTGAGCTAGTTGAGGGAAATGCAGACAAGCTAAAATTGGAGCAGGAAGACTAGCTGGGAGGCTGTTCTCATTTGGAAATGAAATTAACGACGAGTATTTGCAGCCGAGTCTAGTCCCAAACAGAGCTGTGTAATGGACATTTGAGATTGCCATTAAACGAGATCAGCTGCTAGGTTGTAAATTTTTGAGAGTACAAATTACTTTCGCTAATTTAACCTAATCTCTAAACTACTCCCAGCTTACAAGGTGATGGCCTTCCTTGTGCTTATACCACCTAGCTTTTATTTATTTTGTGGAAAAACTGAAGACCTATCGAAGGGTGCTCGTCCGCACTTTTATATATACGCAGTGTGAAGCGGTAATTTTTTCGCCAAACCGCAACATTGGTAAAATATTTTTTTTTGATTCTCAATCAAAATTTATCGTTTCTAGGCGGGTTCGATCCCTATAAAATAAATGGATTTCCAAAAACGTAGTCGAACATGGAACGCCATAGGGGACTACTTCAAGAAAATCAATAATCGGTCTAGAAAACAACTTTAATGGATTACAATTATTGGTTAGTTTTGTGAGCGTAATTTTCATAAGAACCGATGAAAGCCTTGAAACAATTTTATTGAGTTTCTCAAATATTGCACCTACATACGTCAGGTATGACTCCCCTGATTCGGAAGCAAGACTGATTTTGAAGGAATTTTTGGAAGTAAATAAGATGTTTCTACGAAAACATTAATTTTTCCGCTGGAATTAATGCAAGCAACTGCATTTCAAAATTTTCTTGTATGTATGGCAATAAAACGGACCCTACATCTGGATTTCCTTCCGGCTTTTTTTTATTGGACCAACGTCAAGAAAAACCGGAACGATGAACGTGATTAATGCAGCGCTGTGGTCAGTAATGTCGTAATCAACAGGATATCAAACATTTTTACACTATGCATGAGTTCTGTCAAGAAATCAAAAATAATAAGCAAATTTCTTCCAGTATTTTAGAACTTTGGAGATTTTATGGGTAATCTTATCAAAAGCTATCAACATTGGCACTCGTGTAACACTAGCATATTACGATATGCATCGGTATACAAAATACGTATCATTAATCATCAATTCTTTGCTGTTGTGCACGAACATGCTACGTTATATAGATGCCGAGATCTACAACAAGTATAATTTGTAATATTGAAAAGAATTCCAGCTACCTGAGAAATGAAAACTGTATTCCTTGATACTAATGAGTTCAGTGTCAATCATTCAATGTTCTGTGAAACTGAGCGGTCAGCAAAAGGGAAACGAATTTTTGCAACTGTCTAATATTCATGATTGTTTAGTTATACAGCTAGATATGAGAAGAGGGTGGTTCAATGCTATGCTCCTTTTGTGACTAGTTGATTGAAAGCCAAAATCCAACTCTTCTAGAAAAGTAAATTTCCCAAAAATTGAATTTTGCCCTTGCTAAAACATTCTCTTTAGATATCTACCGCGGGCAATATGTATTACAATCTAATAATTACACAATATTGACATGTTTTTTTGCTAAACTTTTTCTTTGTGCTCCAACCCTTCAACTCACAATGCCAGTTCTGCGTTTTTTATTTGCAAAAGAATAAGTGAAGGGTTGTATTGAAAGCTTTCTCTATCCAAAAATTTTGCAAGTGAATGAGCATTCAAGGCTGTACAAGAACGAAAAAATCTTCTCATGCCCTTTTCGTCCGAAACAAGAGCACCAATTTGGGAAAAAAGAAGACAAAATCGAAATTCTATAAAGGCTGTAGCAAGACTGTTTGCGAATGTTGCCAGAAAGCAAAGGGTGGCTGAATAATTTGCTTGTGTGGGGAGGGGGGGGGGGAGGGCTGCACAGCGGCACTCTTTAGTGCGAATTGAGTTAACGAAGGAAATTGGAGCATTGGAGCGAACACAATTAACGGTCTGATCAGCAAGCTCTGACCGAGATCTAATAAGAATAAATAGTGCAAACAGAGGCCATACTCTTTTGTGCATGCAGCACCTTAATGGTATTATGTAAAACAAGGGGAAAGATCAAAGTCTCTCAGTACAAGCTCTCAAAAAATAGGATCATTGGCATTAGGTCTCTTTGTTGAGATGTAGGTTTTGAGTTAAACAGGAAGGGAAGAATCATAGTAAAATTCTATAAGGCAATTTTTGAGGATTTCGGAAAACCGCCCAAACCCTAATCACTTGAGTATACTGGCTACAAAGGATTCTTAATCACCCTCAAAATAATATTGGTTTTGAGCTGGACTTTTGACCACAGTAACAAACTATGCCCAGTATCTTTTGTTGTCTGAGGCATAATGAACATTATTTATGAAGTAATTTCTTTCCCATAATAATTTTTCTAATTTTTCATTCAGACATGCCGAAATTAAGCCCGAAACAACATTGAAAAGTAGATCTACACCACTTAGTACAAAAGAATACGGTAAATGAGCACCAAGATCTTATATAAGCACTACTTTGAAGAGGCAGGTTCATTTGTGATATGAAATTTTGTTCTTGACGCAAAAATTTATGACGATTACCGCTCCTTGTCTTATAAAAGGCCAGGTGGGGCAGAAAGGGTGTGAGGCAAGAGGAGCCATTTTAATTGCCAGATGAACAGCAATTGGAGCATTTTTTTTGTATTTTATGATGTCCCAAGAGCAATTCAAATTTCGTACAAAATATGTATGAACGTCTCATAGGCTGCTCGATCTTATCATTCTGAAGTAGATCCTAAAGAGAAGTGGGGGGGGGGGGGGCGGGGGTCAAAAACCCTTAAAAATTAACCGATGTCGTTTTCGTGAATATTTCAAAATTTTACACCAAACGCCGTCATACTTAGCAAGAGGTAGCGTTAGATTCTAAGTAAGCTGGAGCACTTTGTTTGGTATCCTTGCAAGACTCTCTTAGCTTAAAACTGGGCTTTCAAACTAGTGACCTTTGGAGAAATCGCTCCTCTTGACCGTCTCCTAGGCAGTGACTTATCACTGTTGAAAGATATTTTTGACTCTCGCGCGACATCCTGCCCTGGCCTTTTTTAAACTTTATTAGCAAAGAGCAACAGAAACTGAACGTTGCAGATAATAAAGAACGTTGCTCATTTTTGTTGATTAGAATTGTAGAAAATGAAGCCCGATGATACCAGTGGTGTATGTATCGTAAGTAAAACGACTACAACACATGTTTTACATTTTTTGACTATCCATTTCTTGCATGATATTTTGCCCTGACATTCTTCAGAAATGTTTAGCGAAGAAAAACAGATACTTGAGTGTTGAAGACAATAAACATTGGCTCCCTTGCAATGTGAGCTGCAGATTTCTCAATTTTCACATTGACTACACCTTAACCTACTTTGTGAACAGCCTGGTGCTAGATTAACTTTGCAGCACTTTGTACTGGGAAATAGAAAAGTGGTCTAACTTTATTGTGCTTGAATATATGCAATTTGTTCGTTTCATAGAAATTTCCTCGGAAGTTCCGTTTTTCTGCAAGATTTTGTAATTTCTAAATGAAAATACACAGCAAAGCTAAACAAAGAAGAATGCTTTTAATCGGTTGCAGATTCGGGATAATATTTTTTATGTTCAAATTTCTTTTGTGCCGTACAGGTTGACCACTTCTCAAAAAAAAACCTGCACGGCACAAAAGAAATTTGAACTTACGACACACGCCAAGGTTTCATGAAAAGGGGACTTTTTTTTATTATTTGGAGCTATTTTTTATGACTTTGGCATTGTCTGAGTTGAGTGCCATAACAGAAATAATATTCAACAATTTCAACATTTTTTAGGCTCTTTGCTTTTCCGCGTATTTACCTAGGAACCAAGTGAAAGACATTTCATGGCCTGATCTTATTTGGTCGAAGGAGTCAGATCAATTGGAAAGAAAAAATTCTGTACGATAGAGTTCCTAAATGGCATTTCAGGTTTTAACGAAGTGTCTTATGGATCATTTTTTATGAGAAATCTAACTCAAAGATGTTGAGTTATTTGTTGAATCTGGTACTTCGGCACAAATGCAACTTTTGGGATACTAAAGTGCAATTTGGGTATATTTGTTGGGTCAAATTCGTGTCACAAAGTCGAAATGATGCAACTTGCATCAACTTTGATGCAATCTTGCTAGCAACGGCTCTGTTAAGCAAAGAGTGCATCTACATCCATCACAAAAACTTTTTCGCCGACTAGACATCAGTAAAACAGAAGGAAATGAGAACCAAAGACTTGCAAGTACTTCTGTTTCTGTACTGCCTCAATTTCTCTGCGAGGCCAAGCGATACTCGCAAGCTGTGCTCCAATAGTTTTTTTTTTTCATTTCTATCATATTTAGGCTTAGACAACGGTAAACCTGCACCAAGCTAAGTTCTGCTGGAGTGTGAATACTGTTTCTAATACGTAGGAAGGTGATACGGTCCAGACAAACCAGTTGTCGCCAAAGATAGTAACTGGCTCGATTTTCTGACTACACACTAAAGATCTCCACGTGGCTTGTTGTCTAGACACTAATGCATTTCTTTTTCAAGAGTTTTCATATTAGAATTGATATCTGCTGAGTATCATAATTATTAGGTTGTCAAGAAATAATGTCGTTTTTTATTTGCTTGATTTAACAAAGCGACCAGACTCAACCCAACAAAGGATAATGGGTATTGCTCGATAGAGCAAAGCAAGCTCTACGAAATGGCGTTCATGATTTTGTGCCAAGCTCGATCCAAGGAAAGTTTGAAGTCAAAATCTGAAAATTTCCAAATGCCCAAAAAATCAAAAAAAATCAGATCTTTGTCCAAATAATTTCTACGGACTTCCCACTCATACGCGTCAATTTCGATATCTGATATCCATATATGCAGTTGCTGTACTTTTTCCTTGTCTAGAAACTGAGAAAACGAAAATTTTCGTGTTTTACTAAAAGCAATGCTGAGCCGTTCTTGCATATGTGATTCTATACTACAAGCCTAGATAAGTATAACTGTAAATTTTCAGCCCATTCCGAGCAGTAGTTTTCGAGATATGTCGCTTTTAGCACTGAAACTGAAAAAAAGAAAGCTGATTTTGATATTTCTTGAAAACTACTGCTCGGAATGGGCTGAAAATCTACAGTTATACTTATCTAGGCTTGTAGTATAGAATCACATATGCAAGAACGGCTCAGCATTGCTTTTAGTAAAACACGAAAATTTTCGTTTCCTCAGTTTCTAGACAAGGAAAAAGTACAGCAACTGCATATATGGATATCAGATATCGAAAGTATTGACGCGTGTGAGTGGGAAGTCCGTAGAGATTATTTGGACAAAGATCTGATTTTTTTCGATTCTTTGGGCATTTTGAAATCTTCAAATTTTGCGTTCGAACTTTCCTTGGATCGAGCTTGGCACAAAATCATGAATGCCATTTCGTAGAGCTTGCTTTGCTCTATCGAGCAATATCCATTATCCTTTGTTGGGTCGAGTCCGGTCACTTTGCTAAACCAAGCAAATAAAAAACGACATTATTTTCTTGACAACCTAATAGTATAAAAATTTTCAATTTTTTTAATTTATTGCTTTGTCGAGTTACAAGTAGCTTCTCCAATTTTGACAAGCAGCTTCTGTTATTTTATAATAAAAAGATGCGACATATTTTGGAGGTTTTCGAGCGTTCAAAATGAGTTTTTTTTTCATAATTTTTGAAACCAATAATTGCAAGAAATTGCAGCAAGTGAGAAATTCATGGACTTTATCCGTGTTCTCAGCACCCATATGTTTTGTCCACAAATTTTATGTGGAAGTGAGTATATGAATATGTATCAATGAATCCATAATCTCAAATATGACTGACTAGCAAAGTTTTAAGTTCCCAGTTCAAAGAGAAGTTAAGAGCATTAGTTGGGTGAAAAAAGGGCGCTTTTCAATCTGCATAAACTTCAGTTTTAAAAAAGATTCTATCTAAGTTGTAGTTTCGTCTATATATATAGAATCGTTGTGCCTATTCAAAAAAAGTGAATTTGCGGGATCAATTGGCTCCCGCAGCGAACGTTTCCTGTAAATCTAGCATAGTAAACTCAAAGGGTCTACATCGCAATTTTCATATTATGCTCCTCTCCACCACCCTCTCGTCCCCCTCCCCTCTTTTCCCCTCCCTTGCCGAAGTTATATCAGTCACGTGGTCGTTTTTCTTTTATGATCAAAAAAAAGCACAGACCACCAGCGAGGGCGGAATGCGTGGGCAAGCTGCAAAGATTGTAAAACTGACAAGAGTGCACTCGGAAAAATCAAAGCTTCGCTTACAAAGGGCTTGCAGATACAACATCATAGACTGAATTTTTGGATAATCGTAAGAGATTTTTACTTTCCCTATTACAAATCGGTAAATTGAACACTTGAGAGTTAATACGTGCATCTTGATATACTTGTTGAGGAAGCTTTGTGAGCGACGGAAAAAATCTGTATCAAAAAGAAAATCAACGAAAATCTCAATGTTTACTTCTGCGCAGCTATCGATGCCGTTATAAGAAATGACGCAAAAAGATCATCTCTAAATGAATAGAGACAGTCGGTGTAATTTCTTATTCAACAACTGCACAAGAAGATCATGAACATTTTGAAGATATTTACTTCTTATGGCGGGGGCGCGTAACTCTTTGGATTTTTTACCTTTTAAAATGGCTATATCTCTTCTCCTGTAACGAAACAAATAAAGCGGTTTTGTCTACTCTAACATAGCCTCATTTTAGCTTGTAAATACATAGCAGTTTTCACGAAAGATGAATTTATCCACAAAATAGTCAAAATCATGCAATCAACTGATCCTCCTATAGTTTCTGAATTCAGACACAAATATAGCAGGGCCCACTCATTAATTCACTCATTCGGTTGAGTGGCAAATAATTCAAATCTAAAAATCCAAGTAGAGACAGTGTAGGATCTTTTATGGCTCTCGAAATTTGACTCACTGCCAGATTTATCACTTGTAGTAGTATAGAAATAAGATACATCAAGTCAAGAAAACATTGGCACAGAATTGCTTTTTAACACGCGCCCAGTTTTCTGGTTGATTTTCTATGCGAACTTTGTTTTTTTTTCAATTTTGCAGCCTTTTTGAGTTGAGAAAGTGCTGAGTTTTACCTTACTAATCATTTCTTTAAGTTTTCATTAGACACATACGTTCTTCTTTGGCATTCGTCACTATGGTTTTCCTGATATTCCTGAACAGATGTCCGCCCGACTTATATGCAATCCATCTTGACCATGCTCAGACTTTTCGTCAGTAGCATAAATTAACTGTGTAACAGCCCTCAAAAGATTAATCTTTGTAAAACCTTCCTTCTTGTAGTTTATTACGAGTGTGATCACTTTACTGTTGTAAAAACAGAGCAGACACAGCTGACAGTTGAAAAAAGTGAAGAAGAATTGCTGCTCGCATTTGATAGATTAAGAAATGGAAAAAATGACAAAATTTTGAGCAAACCGCTTTAAGTTCTACTTGATGGTTTCTTATGCTGCGTTGTAAAGATATGATGTTATGCTCTGTTATTTCACCTGGGACCTTTCATATAATGTGTTCAAATCGTCCTACATATGTACAAAGCTAGATTACCATCATTTTTTAGATTTAGAAAAAATACAGGGTGTCCCAAAAAAATGTTAACACTGTTTGATCGTTAATAACTCCCTTGCTTTCAAGTCTTTCGCCGAGCTTTAGGTACCATTTTGTAGAGTGAGGATAAACTTAGATTTGCAGTACCGAGCGAATCATCTAACGCTCCTCGTTACTGTAGAATTACGGTAGGAAATTCCAGCATGTGGAACCGTCGTGAAATATGCCCTCTGACAACATTTTTTCCAAAAAATCTGAAAATTCTTGTACTAGGGTTTTCGCGTACGCTGATTTTACTACACAACTTTTTACGAGTGTTTTCAGCTTTTTCAACGGTGTAATCACATTTTTAACACATGCTGGGAAGTCAGTTATTACACTTTACCTAGGATAACTTTGAAAAGAAGTATCATAATGAAGTGAAAATTTCATATCCGAAATCAGCGGCTTCCATTATCATAGTACAAGAGATTTTGGCTTGCTTGGCTCTGTTCCGAAGCAGAAAATGGGCTTCAATGGCCTAAAATCCTCGTCAAATTTCCTACCGTAATTCTACATTAACGAGGAGCGTTAGATGATTCGCTCGATACTGCAAATCTAAGTTTATCCTCGCTCTACAAAATGGTACCTAAACCTCGGCGAAAGACTTAAAATCAAGGGGGTTATTAACGATCAAACAGTGTTAACATTTTTTGGGACACCCTGTATTTTTGAAAGCATCTACTTTCATTCTCAATTACCGTACCTCAGCACTCGGTAATTCTTGAAAAAAACCTTGCCCCAAAAAACCATTTGCAATAAAAATGAAGAAGTTGCTTTTCAAGATAATAAGAATAATCAGCTCATCCATCTAAATTCAAAAGATCAAGGATTTTGGTTTCATTAGGACCCACATATCATCTAATTTTGTCGTTGCAGACATTTCCTATTTCAGTAACGAGAAAAAACCGCCAATCTACTCTTCAAAGCACAGTTTCATGCGATTAATCAGTCTCGTTCTTATGAAGACCATATCACTCCACATAAACAGTTTTTTTAGCTGATGTCCTAGCTTACGTGTATCATCAAAATCAATAAATCATTGTAAGTTCAGGCACAAACACAGCTGACAGTGCTCGGTGAAAGATTAGGCAATAAAGGGCTTTCTATAGCAGTTGCATGTTGGTGGTACATTGCTGGTAGCTACGGTTTGTTCAGCCTTACAAGTGTAAATTTTTCATGTGCCAATTCTCGTTTGCTTTCTAGCTTTGTGTTTCTTGACTATTATTTGCACTCTAGCACCAGCATTATGGTAAATCACAAATCAAAAATTGAACAAATTTGAACCTCAGAAGGAACACTTCTTCATGAGGCAAAGGTCGTACTCCTGGTTCGATCTTGGTAAAAATGGAAATAATATAGAAATGTTTCAAATACATGAACAAATCTGCAAATAAATTCACGTCTTTTCTATTCGGAGATAGCTCTAATCCAAACATCGTCTCAAAGAAATCGAAAGAAATTAATGCTTGTAATTCTCTTCAAGAAATTTCTTTATCAATATGATATATTATAACAATAGGAGGTAGATTAAACGAAAATATTCTTCCTTCATAAAAATTCAAGTAACTTCTTAAAATTTCTTTCGGAATCCCGAAATAGGCTTCGAACTCCAACAAAACTCAATCTTAAGCCTAGAATGAAATGAGACAAGTATGCTTATAGTTTTATTTGCGGATTTCCTTTTTCTCAACTTTTCATTTGCAGCAAAAATTTATTCTTCTCTTCTTGATTACTAATACTCAGTAATCCATTAATTCATTCTTTTGTGACACTAAAGTTGCACCAACGAAGACGAATACTCAGTAATCCATTAATTTATTCTTTTGTGACACTAAAGTTGCACCAACGAAGTCTGTAACTCCAGTTCAGTCGAAAAAGAATTGTATCAATTAGCTACAGCATGAATTAGTTGGATGTAGTACACATAAACGTAGTAAATTAGAGTATAAAGACTAGTTTTTAGTCTATCCTTTGGTTTAGACTCTTCCCACGAAAGCAGGAAGCATGCATAATTTCAACGCTACTCAGAACCTGATCATGAATAATCAAATGCCAGTTTCGCCATCTTCGAAGGAACGTTTGATAATCGCGCATTCCGAGCGTCTGATCTTTGAACGATAAAAGATATTTCAACGACATCGAACCATCATCGTGGCGCATGATAATATCACATAATCACAAAGATGGAGTCATTCAATCGGGGATAGCCCCCCCCCCCCGATGATGTAGGCGTGACCGCACGTGGGAGGGTGCGCGTAGCTTGACAGCGTGACTGTGCCATTTAGTACATCACTTACAGTTCTCCACATCAAAAGCTTCCACTTGATCCTGTTTCTCTTTCTGTCTCAAAGATCCTTTTCCCGTATCCTTGGCCTTGAACACATTGATATGGCGATGGTAAAGTGAGTAATTACTAATTGCAGATGAGAAGATCATTACGACTTGCTCAGCAATTCGTTACCGCTATTGGCTGTGCTAATGGAAATGCTGGAAGGTAAGGCTTTGAAATCTATGCATTACTGTAATCATCTGAAATTAAATTACCTCTCAACCATTATGTGTAGATGCACACAACGTCCATATTGCGCGTAAATTCCTGCAAGTCGGTGGAAGTCTATCATACCTGCTTTGAAATACCCTCATCATTTTTATTTAATGGATGCCTGGAATGAACAGAAACATTAAAAAGGCTTAAATTAAATTTATAACAGTTACCTCCTTTTGATCAGTAAAGTCCAGGAAATGACGATCAATGTGGTCAATGTGTGCATTCGCACATCATAGGTCAATATGACCAGATTATATTATTTCTTTGCGCTCTACATGCACCTTAAATAGCCCACACCTTATTAAAAAATCAGAAATCACCTGATGACTAAGATTTGTCACACAATGAAATGCAGGTAGAACTAGTAGAGTAATAACAGAAGATAATAATAACAGTAATGACAGGAAGAATAATAAGATAATACTTATTTGTCCTAGTCATAGTCATTTCGACCCGGAATTCCTCGTTGAAAAAGAAACAGTCGGTCGAGTAGAAATGTAAAGGAAATCTGTCAATTTTGCCTAGCTTCGAAGATACTTGACACATTATTCATTTCCCTGTGAAACTTCAAGAACTGATAACAGCTGTCATTTCATACCTCAAAAGATCACTACATCACTATTTTTTAGACATCTTGGATGTGAACATGCTGTAGAGACGTTGAGGAAGTCGAAATTCCTTGAAAAAGTTAGAGTTCCCATTCAATGGAAGGACATTGTTCACGAAACTCCAACTGGCCGACACTTTGAAGCACTTGATGGAGTTATTCAGGTAATTTCTAAGTAAGGTTCTATATGAACTGATAAAATGCTGACCAAATCATAGGTGTCATCCTGAAGCTCTGATTATGCCTGTTAATTTTTTTTTCTGAATTCTTGAGCTGCATTAACAGATTTTTGCTATAAATTTCTATTAGAGTCGTTACACAAGTCACATTTATGGAAATTTATTAGGATTGATTCGTTCTAATTTGACGAACAAAAGTTGGCGCAAAAGAACTTAAAATCAAAGGTGAAAGTCAATGTCTTGTATGTTTTGTCTTGACAGAAGTGTCATCTCATGAATCGTCTGCAATTTTTTTGTAAATGCACTTTTGCACGTGGAGATGACGGACAGTATTGTGATGTCATGACAGCATAAAAGTACGTTTCGCCAACGCAATGAAAATGCGTGGTTGTCTGGCAAACTTCAAAAGTTCAACGTCAAAACCAGTCCCATTTATATCGTGAGATTTGCGACCACCTAGAAAACATTGCAGACATGTAAACAGTTAGCTGCTCGTACAAGAAAGGCTATCGAGAACAAGGAAGACCTTTTGGTCATAGGAGGTGATCACAGTTGTGCGATGGGAACGTGGAGCGGAGTGGCGTCGGCGATTCGACCGTGCGGAGAACTCGGACTCATTTGGGTCGATGCTCACTTGGTTAGTTATTCGAATCTTATTTTGAGGCATAGAAATTATTAGGAAGTTATCTAAATCTTAAACATTACGCTTGATTTTTCTTGTGATGAGCACTCATATGATTTGCAACCGGCTCTTCGAAAACTTTTCTAAAATCGTTGTTCAGGATGCTCACACACCGGACACTACTCCAAGTGGTAACATCCACGGCATGCCTGTTGCACATCTACTTGGACATGGTAACAAAACTTTAACATCGCTTGGGGATCATCTATCAAAAGTGCTTCCTCATAACATGTGCATGGTTGGAATTCGAAGTTATGAGAAACCGGAACAGGTTTGTTGAGAGACTAGCATGAGAAATTTTCTGGATAATTTTCGTCCAGCACCATTCATAAAAACATTTTAGGAACTTTTGGAAAGACTGGGTGTTCGCATCTTCTATATGGATGAAGTAGACCGACGTGGGATTGCTGACGTTATGCAAGAAGCTCAGTATTTGGTCTCTAGGTCGGTTAAATCAACATCAATGCCATTCTTAAAGCCAGTGTCTCGACAGGATTTCGCTTTCCAGACTAGTTAAGTATTCAGAGGTGCTAGGTTTGCATTTGCGCACTTCGGGACCGCACCGTAGTTTCCCGCTTTCTGATGTTTTTTGAGTTGGCGTTACGATTCTTTATATATTAATTTTAACTTTTTCGAAGCCTTCTTGCCATAAGGAACCTATCTCTGGACTTTTAAGCGCATGAAAATGGTGAAAATGAGCTTTCCGAAGTTCTCCTGGTCCGCATTCAGTGGAGATTACGTGCAAGTGGGCGGGGCCCGGAACGAGGGAGGCGGGGCGCGGAAGAATGTCGGCTCTTCACTGAATGCGGGCAAGCTCCGGAAAAAGCTCATTTTTGAAAATTCCATGCGTGAAAAGTCCAGATATCGATTTCTCATGCCGAGAAGACTCCGAAAAGATGAAAAACTGGAAAAGGAAATCCTGCCGAGATACACAGACACTGACTAGTTCTCCTTAAAACCCGACAAGGAAATTTGCTAACTAAACGGAAGCAATTCAGGCACACTTACGGATTTGGAATGTCCATAGATATTGATGGTTTTGACGTATCTGATGCACCTGCCGTCGGTACACCAGAAAAGCATGGTATCAGAGCAAACGACTTTTTGCGAGCAGTTCTGACCTTGGATCTCTCAAAACTTCTAGCTACAGAAATTGTTGAATTCATGCCTAAACGCGATGACGAACATAAGTCAAGGTAAGAACGATATATTTCTGCTCGCCTTTCATCCATCCATTGAAGAAATTTAGTGAGAGGCTCGTGGTGAACCTAATGGAGGCAATATATCTCACAAAATTCTTCCAACAGAACACAACGATGGGACTCGAACAACGGATGCAAGCGACAGCATAGACGGGCGCATCGAACTGGTGTACACTTTGCACTAAACTATTATAATAAATGTGCTCAGAAATAGAAATATCCAGTGAATCTAGAACAAATCATATTGAAGCATAATATGAATAAAATCTGAAGAATTTCACGCTGTCAATTCAAAACGAAATTCATAAATATTAACTACACTGAAATCTATGTACTCATTTTCAAAAGTAAAAATTTTTTTGGCAAAGCAGCAAAAAGAAACTCGATACTGTTTCCATCCAGAGTATCTGGATCACCAATGTTCGCGGACGAACTTACTAGGAGCACACGCACTTCAATTCAATGAACTTACACAAAAAACATTATAAACATTGCTCTCAAGTCAAGAGTCCCATCTTTTACCAACCCCCATTAAAAAAACTGTATCAGTTCTAGAAAAGACTGATGGAGATTGAATTTCCTGGAGCTGGTGTAGCACTCTCATGTCCCATCAGAATAATTTTGGAAAAAATGCAACCTGTTGAGCAGAAGGAAATTTGCATGATCAACTTCTTGACTCCATATGGAAGAACAAAGCTTGACATAGATTTACGACTGATAAACTGCAAGATCCACTGCTAGTCGAGAAGTATGCAGTCAGAGCTTCGTGAAAAATACTACTGACGAAATGGCTAACCAAACCTTCCAACGTTTTTTGGTTAAGCATCAACTTTGTTAATTCAAAGCTCGATATCTTTAAAGGTTATGCTCCACCTGCTTAGAAGTGGACGAAATATCTGATAGCCACAAAATCTCTTTTGATTATAGTGATTCCTATATCGCAATAACGATGACCCAAATCCGCGTCTCCTTACCCGTTTGTCCACTGTCGTACTTTGGTGGTCTACTGTGCGAATGGACCTCGGTTCCGCTGTAGATTTAGCGCAGGTTTTACCAAAAGCTGTAATGCGTATGAGGTACAACTTTGTGTAAAATAATAGCTTCATTAGTTAGCATTCGTCTTTGTGTATCGAAGAGTAGAGAGAAGTAACAAAAGGGAGCGAGATTTCTATACACTTCAAGAAAGAAAGTCAGTCTTTAAGTGAAAGAATACGCAAGGTTAAAATAAAAAGTTTTATTATCCAAATATCAAAAGACGTTTATAAATGACCTACGTTGAGTGATATAAACTTGGGATAAAGTCTTACAAAAACAGTGATAGGGTTGCAACTGATAATTTGTAAGTAAATATAATAGATGCGAACTATACGTAGAAGTCGTCCTATGCTTTCGCTACTTACGACGTGTCAAAATTTCAAACAATTTGATTGTCGCGTAAAGAGAGAACACAATATTCACAAGAGATAAGTAAGATGATGCCCTCTTCGACTGTATGAGTGCAGGTTATTCACGTGCTTGAAACGTAGGCAGTGGTACAGTCCAATGGATCATTCAATAATATAGTATGCTTGCAGTGCCAAGGTTGCGCGGCAAAGTTTGTTCGTGGGCAAATAGCTACTCGTGTAATGCCGCCCACGTGCGTGCGCAAAAGGCTGGCATTACTGCGTGGTTATCTGTTTAAGCACAATTTACCACATAATTTAAGTGCCGCAAGCACACTGTACTATGCTAAAGTCTACCAGCTCGCAAATATAAATCTGCTTTCACCAGTACCTTGCGGCAATGGATTAACAATATCTGTTTATATATACAAGGAGAGACTGAAAAATAGGATCTACTCCATTCCCTGCATATATTAGGTCGGTGCAAAGGTTTTGTCAGTTTTTTCAATCCATCGACAAACACGCTGGAATGAAGGTAAACAAACACTTCGAAATGTATCCGATGCAGAATTACTTCCTCTTTCCAGGTGCAAAACTGCTATTGTGTTTCGTTGCGAGAGTGATGAGATATCTGCTGGACATTACAACCACTCGTTTTTACCATGCCCAAGTTTCACTAATTTTCAAAAAAAATTTATGAAACTTTCGGAGGAGCCCTAATAACCACCAGATAGGGCAACCCTTTTGCCAACTTATGCAATTTTTTTCTTTTTTTCAGATGCTCTTTCAGGTATTTGCTAAATAATCTTCTAAAAGTCTTGTGTTTTGGAAAAATCGCATAACCTGTTAGTGCACCAAACACTGCAAAACCTACAGAATACTGAGATTTCAACACTCAGTTATTACTACCGCGACCGTTACAAAGTAAATGAGTGTCCCCCACAAATTTCGTCTGTCTCGGCAAAAAAGACAATTGTTAGGAGGAGAAAAAGTTGCATAGAATGGTGACTGAAGTGTTTGATATTCTATGTTCTACGAGGTTAAAATAGGCTGAATATAAAATTTGGTCACTTCAGAAAATAAATCATAGAAATTCTGAAAGACAAGTCGTAGGGCCATAAAAAATTGCTTCCATTGGCAAAAGGTTTGCTCCTTCTGGTGGTTATTAGGGCTCCTCCGAAAGTCTCATCCAAAAATTCTGAAAAATAGTGAAAGTTGGTAAAAAACATAGTAAAAACGGGTCGTTGTAATTTCTAGCAGATATCTCATCAATCTCGCAACGAAACACATTAGAAGTTTTGCAGCTGGAAAGAGGAAGAAATTCTGCATTGGATACATTTCGAAGTGCTTGTCTATCTTCATTCTAGCGTGTTTGCCGATGGATTGAAAAAACTGACAAAACTTTTGCACCGACCTAATATTATCACTTAATAGTACCAGTGAGGAGAGAGAGGGGGGTGGGGAGGCGCCCCTCCCCCAGAATGGCTCGCGAAATTTTTGAAATTTACTTACATGGCTTATAAAAATGTGCAAATGACTTGTTTATTCTTATAAATAATTAAAATAATTTTTCTAATTTTTCAAAAATTCAAAATAGCTTTTTCTAGGTTTCAGGGGTCAGCGGCCCGCAGAAATTTTCAGAAGCACCTTAAAAATTTTTTCGGAGTGGTGGCTAACGTCACGCACCTTCATTTGAGAAATTTTTTGCCACCCCCCCCCCCCCCCACGGCTCGGCACAGGTGGCTTGTAAGCCAGCTGGTATCGTTTTTTGGGACGAAAAGCAAAGGGGGTTTCGTTTTTGTGACCGAAGAGACACGGAAAATTGGCGACGGCGACCTTTTTTTTTAGTCGACGTTTCGTTTTTTGGGGAATTTTTCAGGTTTTTAGAGGAAATTTGGTTCAGGGTCAAAGGGGACTTCGTAAAAATTCCCAAAAGTCAAGGGGGACTTCGTTTCATTTTCATCTAGCCACCTCGTGCCGAGCCCTGCCCCCCCCCCCCAACGGACGGAAATCCTGCGACCGCCACTGGATAATACTCATCTTTTGACAGGCTACGCCAGGTGGTTCCCATTATTCTACTATATATCATCAAGAGTAACTGCTCGAGGGTATCTTTGTACGTTACTCGAATTCTCAAGTGGGTCCTGTCACTAAAAAATTATAAACGACATTTACGATTTGAAGCTGGATCTCATTTCCGGTTTTATCACAAAGTTCGTTCTCTTGACACATTGCCGTGGAAGGCTTTCAGCACTACCGTTAAGAAGACGATCAAGTTTCTAAGAGAAGGCTCTGTTGGTTTTTTTCTGATGGCAGTACTAGCCATAAGTCAAGAGCAGAAAGTATAATGAAGTGTAACCAGGGCCCGGCAGGAGGTGGCATTTCAGAATTTTGAAAACGATATCCCCTTTGAAGCCAAAATTTCTTACGACTTCCCCTTTGACCCTATTTTTGACCCCCGTAAGTCCCTGACAGTCCCGAAGTGCAAGCTGGTCGGCATGCAATGAACTCGTAACAGTTGTCTTGTCGCGATTCAATCGCGACGATCAAATCGCATAAACTCTGTCGAGTAAGGGATCGTCCAGACCAGAAACACATTGAAAATATGGGTCTCGCTGAACCACAAAAATATTGGAGGCAATGAAGGAAAACACACAAAGAGAAAGCAAAAAATTACAAATGCACAAAAACGAATGCAAAAATTCGATGTCATGTAACATATTTGCATAAATGCACCATTCCACCTACCTGAGGTAGTCCGAATGAGCCTCAAATTGGTGAACTAAGTGCGAGGTGCTGTAGTCGAAAATCCTGACATGCATGTCATCTGAGCCGGTAACAATCCAATTTCTGCGTGAAATAAACTTGGCAGCGCGCACTGGCAAATCACATATCAGAAGAATGCGCAAGATACTGGATTGAAACATAGTAAGCAACATAAGGCCCCAGCCAGACTTCAATTGAACAGCCCAGAACCGCTCAAAAACACCAAAGGCCCCTTTTCACGACGAGTATGTACAAGAACATCTGGCAACGCTTAACTATTTGCGGGATAGGAACTCAATCTTGGATGAGCTATCTTGAGCGAAGTCTCGCCGGGGCCTAACATACAAAAATACACGAAAATTCAAAAAAATAAACCTACTTTGAAAGACTTCAAAAGCAGCTGACTCTCGTAATTCCATATCTGAACGCTTCCACTGTGAAGAGCTGCCAATAGCCACGTTTCCGTGGGATGAAGGTCCACCGACTTTACTCGACTCGATCTTGTCAAAAACATTTGCTCAACTTTTGATGACAGCATGCCTGCAACAACCAGAATAAAGGAAAACGAAAAAAACAAACGACCCAAAAGAGCGAAAGTACGGAGAAATCGACCATATTGCGAAAACTGAAGAAACACAATTACAAAAACAACTTTTTGCATAGAACATCACGACCAAATATGATCTCTGGCCTTTCTGAGCCCTTGTAGGGCTTGTCGAAGAAGCAATCTATTTGAAAATTGTGAAGATTGCTTCAATCAGCGATCACTAATTCAGCAAAAAGTCAAATTCTCGAAGTTTCCGCGTCGTCCGTGCAAGGTGCACCGATTGCGATTGGAGCGCGCTTTCCGAGGCCGATCATAACGCTGTGAACCCTATTTGGGGCTGTATCGAAGCGGTGCCTCGGTGGTTTTGGAAGCGGATTTGTACATATAGTAATACTCTCGACCTAGTCCACATTTATGTAAAGAAATCCGGGAAATTATGTGAAGGGAAGCAGGGAGCCACCCCAGGTGGCTCCCAGGTGGCGCGGGAGCCACCTGATTTCGAAAAACGCTTACCATTTTTTAAATTCACATAAGTTTCTCATAATTTTTCATACTTTTTTTGTGTTCCTTGTCACCCAGTCACAGGCCGAAATTGGTGCCATATTGTTATCTGTTCGTTGCAAACGAGCCCAATTTGTTATTTTTAACATACAAAAGCTCCCTTTGAGTTCCCGCGCGCTGGCGACTTGTTCTGTAGAGCACAAAATCGTGGGCTTTACTGGAGTTTAAGTCAGTGAAGCACGTTGAGAGCGACGAAAAGCTGAAGGGATAATATCCAAGGCATGTGCTTACTTACGATAGCCTTCGTTATTTGTTTGTGTACTTGTTCACTTGTTTACTTACTTCAACTTCCCGAAGACAACAGACATCCGTAAAGTAAAGCAAAGCCTATACTCTTCGAAGCGGATTTTGAATTCTATGACTTCTTCACCGGAGTTTGATATTAGTTTTCTGCGATGTCATTATCCTCAGCATATTTTGGAATGAATTTCAAATTCGAAAACCAATAGAGTTCGACGTTTTAGCAGTGGGAAGTATTACATTTACACCTCTTTGCAGAGGATCCAAGTTACAGCAAAACTGCTTTTCAAAGCCCCTGCGGCGTTATCACAAAAATTCAGTGAACTTTCAAGAATTGTAACTGTCCTTCGAATACGAGTTTACAGGACTGAGTGGAAATTGTGCAACTGACTTTTTGCTACTAGCGATAATTTGTTGGAGTTTTTGAACAAACAAATTAACTCCGAGAAATTTTTTCATGATGCAGATCAAGCCATGCCCCTCATACGAGAAAATCCTCTCTCCCGTCCCCTTTCCTCGCCTCATAAACATTTCTCGGACCGCCGCTGATCAGCACATATTAGAGTAAAGGCGACTCGACCGTGAATTCAAGCGGCAAGCTTCAACAAGAAGTGTTTTGAAAATGAACTAGTTTTCAAAACTATTATATTTTGAACAGATTTGAAAGATGAGTAAAATTTTTTTATTATACTGGATCTTCCGGATTTTCTCCGTAAAAATTGGTAAAACATGACGAAGAAACAAAAAAGATTTGTTTTCTACATAGACTGTTTAGAAATCTTTCTGATATTCTTCTTTATTTACTTTTTCGCAACCATATCAAAAGCAGGAACTTCTTTGCGTATTACTCACAGGACAAATATTTCCAAAGTATTGTTTTGGTTTCAGTCTTTAACTGAAAATAAAACCACGTAAAGTTAATGGCGCACAAACTGACTTTTTTTAGAACATGGCAGACTGTGTGAAACATTACAACGAAACATTCTCGTACGCACTCTAGGTATATGATACGTGCGTGCGTATTTCCTAAACTATAAAAAAATTCCCGGGTCTCCGCCTTTGACCCCGAAAACGACATTCCCTTTGCTTTTTCGGGCCAAAAACGATATCCAGCTTGTAAAAGCGCCACCCCCGCCGGGCCCTGAGTGTAACGGGTTAGAAAGCTCCATAGCTTGTGGAGACTAGAGTGTAAAGCATGCTATCTTCATAAGAAGCAGGATGACCTGGTTGAAGGAGAGAGCGCCTCGCGCTTGACAGAGTTACGGTAGATGAAGTCAGATCCTACAAAAAGGTGGATCCTTGCGTAGATGGATTCGCATGTATCACAAATACTGCATCCAGTACTGTAAGTATTGTATATGAGGTAAGATGCAGATGCAGCAGGACCTCTTTTAGGGATTCTGAAGTAACCGCACATGTACTATCTTTCGGTGGCGAACCCAGGGTATCCGTTCGAGGAGGGGAGGGTGGCAAAAAATTTTCAGACGAAGATGCGTTAGCCACGCATTCCGAAAAATTCCATGGGTTGGTCAGGATAAGCCAAATCTTCCACTGCTTTCTTTGTATACAAAAAGGCAAGACAAGCCCATTACGGTCGGTGACTCGACGGGATCGGCCATACTATTCCTGCTATATTCCTGCGAATCCTGCGATTCCTGTGAGTCCCGCACAGTTTAGACGCCGCTTAAATGAGTGCGTGTTGCGTGTTACGTGTTGTTTTACGCAACACGTGCTCATTTAAGCGGCGTCTAAACTGTGCGGGACTCACAGGAATCGCAGGATTCGCAGGAGTCGTAGGAATAGCAGGAATAGTATGGCCGATCCCGACCGTGTTCCCGTTTAGCCGTCATTTTTGCATCCGGCGCGTTTCCTACGTGATGCACACACTACAGTTTTTTGCGTGATCATGTTAACCTAACATGGTTGCTTTCCTCATTGAACATCTGTTATCTTGCTGCAGTACATTGTTTGATAAACAACAGTGTCTTCAGAAAAGAAAACTCTTTAGGGTCCACTCGGCTGTGCAGCTTTTAGGGATCGATTTCCTGTATGGCTGCATCCAAGATCGAGCGCCTGGAAAAAGCAGTTCATATATTGGAGGCGGCACTGAAAGCAAATGACTTAGTGACAGCAAACAAGTATGTTGCTTCCAACATCTCAGTAGAAGTAGGATTTTATGTAATTTTAGGCGGAACTTTCCTCTTTTTTTTTAACGATAAAAGTGTTCATTGCGCACGAATTCTGCAAGTAGTTTTGGGATTTGCTGCGACATTGCTCAAATTGGTTTTCATATGTTACTTCTTTGGTGTCATCAAAGTTTTCTTTTGATTTTTGAGATTCAGAAGCAGTCTCCAAGTTTACTTGACGCTAAGCAACATTTTCATGTGTAAACAATGTGATGGTGAATAATTCGGATAAATCACAAATGTATCAAGGATATTCATTAAGGAAGAACCTTTCCTACGAGAAGGAACGCAACGCTTGCTCCGAAATTCGCAGTATCATTGTAGCCAACGATTTCAATGCCCTTTACAAGGTAAGAAGGACAGCACTGATATCAGTGCAGTACAGTTTTTCTACTGAAGCATGTAAGCTTAAGAGCCTATTCTTTCACAGGCAGATCGTCGCTACGGCGATCTTTTGGCAAAAAGCGTGGAGATGATATTCAGAATGGTAAATCATGCCAATCAAGATGTACGAACGTATGCCGAAGAATCTTTGGATGCAGTATTGCGGGTAGGACTTTCCGATAATGTGACTATTGCGTGTTATCACCAGCTCAGAGTCTCCTTCTTGGATTTTATCACTCTCGTGTACTGGTGTTGCTTATAACCGAGGTTGGACGTAATCACAATGCTCGTTCATTGGTTTGTGCACTTCGTCGGCTTGCTCATCTGATCCATTTCAGCAAGTGTAATCGTGTCGTGTAGGTTCATTTCATGCTTCGTAGTTTCTATCGTATATTTGTTTTTATTTTTGCAGAAGCTACGGTGTGCACATACTGTCAGCCCTCACATCGCTGATGAAGAGACCCGAGGAAGTCATACAGAGTGCGATTATCTCTTATAGCGGTCTGCTTTTTGATACGTTGGGCCCTAGAATGAGAAGCCAGCAAACGGAAAAAGCCTTCGTTAGTTTCTTACACAGCTTGAATTCAACTTGTTATCTTTTGTTGTTTTTTTTTGTGAGCCAATCACGGCATGGCCAGTGAACTTGAGCATCTTCTGCACTACATCGTTGCTCCATAATCTCTTGAGGGCGTAATGATCTTTTACGAGCCTAACATTTGAGTAGCGTGCAAAACATCGACATAAGCGAATGGTTGAAAGTACTACGAAATGATGTTGAAGTTGTTGATATTCTTCTCCTAGATTACATCCGCTCTTACCACGAGGATTCAGGATCTCTACTGTGTAGCTGCCGATAATCTGGAGTTGAACGGAACTGCCAATAGAGCTGCTGTAACGATTATTGCTCACCTAGCTACATATTATCCTTCTGTATTGAATAAAGTGAGCTTCGCTACCTATTGAACCATTACTTCGATCAAAGTCGATATTCTAGGCGTTTCTTAGATGTATGGTGTGCGTCCGAGATGCAGATGACAGCTCTAACCGTACAAAACTAATAGGCTGTCTAAATACTTTGAAATCAATCTGGCCGCTTTTGTCTGAGCCGGGATGTGCTGTAGCACGGAACAACATCAAAACTGTATGTTGGTTGAAATGTTCATCAAAAAGTTTGGAGTATAACAATTACAGGTCATATGCAGCGTGTTGTGCTGCTTGTACTCAAATTTCAGCGAAGTTGTCGTGCCTAGCATTGAACTGCTAGATAAGATTATGGCCGATCCACTCCCGTAAGCTGCTAGTAACTTTAATGACGAGGTTACTATAGGGTTTTGCATCTGAGAAATACTCTTCTAGTTGGCTGTGGGAGTTTATCCCTCTTGAGTTCGATTTGGCTTCTGCCTTTCGTCCAAAAGTTGCGAGTGTGGCTGATATGGTTTCGAGAACAGCTTCTCCTGTTTTTGGTATGTTTTGTTGAGTTTATTCTGCCAAATGCTGACATTACATCCATCAGGTGAGGTCTCTCTCCCATCTTCTTCGCTTGGATCCATGCTTGACGTTTCGGAGACCGGTACGGGTATTTGCGATTTCAACACACCACTGTTACTCCCGGAACGCTCGGCTGGGCCTTCTTCTAGTGGCGGAAGTTCGGTTAGTAACGGCTGGTTCGGTCAGGGTGATCTATCTTCTGTTAGATGATGTCGAATTTGTAGTCTCCGACTGTTGAAGATGAGATTATCGATCCATTGCTTCACGCTGATTTGTATGAAGAAGTTAATCGAAGCGATAACTTCGGGAGTGATCCGGCGTTAACCTCGCAGCAAAACTGTCCGGATGATGCATCTCTTGGGATCTTGAAGCATCTTCCAGTCGATATCTGTAGGTTATTCTATGAAGACTTTCACTCTTAACGAAGCACATTACTTTTAGGTGACATGTCCTCTAACTGTCTAGTCTACACAGCAGCTTTGTTAGCAAAGCGTTTTCTTTTGGCGGGATTGAAGGGCTTGAAAAGTGACCGAGACGTTCGGATATCGCACAAAATCCTGGCGTTGAATTGTATCACCACAATCGCAAACCATCAGAACCTTGCCAGGACTACTTTGCTTTTCGGTATGGCTTTTTAAATGCCGCTCTCATATCTATTTTGATCTTAAGATGACTTTGAACAAAATTTGGGAGAGGTTTCGCGTTACATACTACATGATGACGATCAGCTATGCGCTTCGACAGTGCTTCTTCTCTTCAAAATGGATAAATATGAATCCGCGATACATAGTGAGTCTAAACATATTCAGTTATCTCATATTCCGATTTTATCGTTTGATAGAACTTTTACAGTTTTTCCTTTCTGTACGAAGCTTTCATTTTGTTGCGCTTGTTGTGTTTTACATCATCTGTTTCCACTTCCTTTTGTAAGATGACCCAGCTTTGCCACAACTCAGCCAACTCCTTGTATACAAGTTGGCATGGTCTAAGTGGGTTCTGTGTTACGCTGCATTTTTGAAAGCCGATTAAAAATCCTACATTTTTGCCTCAAGATCAGAGGCAATAGGGGGGAGCGTTGTTCCTCTGCATCTTCCTGCATAATCTTTGTGTAGATGATTTATGATAATGTTCTGGTTTCTGATTTGTCCTCCATATTATCTGGTTGACAAGCTTGGCTGAGGGGTTTGATTAGGGAAGGGTACCAATAAGTTGGCGACTGACGAGCTGTACATCTCTAGACGCGTGTTCAAACGCTGATTCCAAGTTTGCTTTTTCTTGCGTAACAACTCTCCGAAAGAAGTTATTTGAATTTGTCCCCTTAGGTGGCATGGAAACAGCGAGAAGTTGTACAAAAACACCTGAAAGAGGATAATCACTTTTATGTGGCTTTCCGCTAATTTTATGCCGCTTGTAGCTTGACGAGTTTGGACGAATTTCAAACGCGCACAACTTTTTTCGGAGAATTATTCCGCAAAAAAGAATTCGGAACTAGGATATTAGGACGCTCTAGTGGTATACATCTTGTCTTCAGTCGACAGTTCAAGTTATTTTTTCCTTTTGAGACTCTATCAGACCACCGATGCTTCCCCTTGTAATGTGTGCACATGTGGAGCAATTGTTTCTCTAGAACTTGTTGTTTAGGTAATTCTCATAATTATCGACGGGTGATGAGAGCCTTTCAACCAATTAGGAAGCGTTCGGTGCTTCAAGCTGCGATAGGTCAACAGAGTACACTCGAGTCTCTCGGCATTCTTCAAGATGCTATTAATCTCGCTATTACGGAAGTATCGTCTACTTTCTTCCTGCTTAAGGTCCATTGAGTCTGCATTATAGTTCAGATGTTTATGTGATTCAATTGATGTTGTTTTTATTCTTGCAGGTAACATGTGCTGAATTTTTGAGCTCGCTCAAATGGAATATGGTAGAGCGTTCTATCCGAGAAGAGTGGCAGTTACAGTGTCTTCATGCTTACTTTGATCTTTTGTTTTCCGATGACTTCAAAGTCGCTCAAGCTGCTTTAAGTAGGGTCGATCGGTGAGCTTTGTTCAAGAGTTTGATAGTTTTTTTGCCCCAAAACACCGCTCAGATTGGTGATGAATGCGGACTTCACCGAGTACAGTGGAGTCTTTGCTGTCCGAATCCCTGATGATGTGATTTCTCTCGGACAAGGCTTTCTTCCAGCAGTGAGTCTTTTACGCTTCGAATGCAGGAGGCAATACCTAGCTCTTGCAGAGAGTTTTACAGCTTTGATGACTGTTCTTTGTCGAACCAGCACTTTAGGTTCTTAATATGCCAAGCGATTACCGATTTCGTGGTGAATGTCCTGATATCGTGGTAGAATCTAATCTGGAGGCAGTGTTAAGCGAGTTAACTGAGTACTATACAGCTGATGTGCTCAAGCGATCTGTAAGTGTTCGAAAACTCATGGTCAGTTATCAACCAGTTCACTTCTACAGGCTGGTTTTTGCCTCGTTCTGGATGCACTGCTGAAAACATTCCCCGCATCCTTGTTCTCCGAGTGCTGGGGATGCTCAAGCAAGTAAGTTCAGAGATTTTCATCTTTTTCTTTACTCTATCAGAACAAGTAAGAATTACATGGTGTGTTTTCGAATTTCCTTTGGCAGTTATGTTATGGAGTTCGTCTTTGGAGGGGCTACCAGTTTATCAGAATTTTCAGACAGCCCTCACCTACGGGTGGACTTCTTTCCGTAGTGCTAGAACTATGCGAATTGAATCTTAGCACACCCTCTAAATTGTCTACTGGTCTGCGAGTTGTTGCTGCATTGTTTGCCGGTAAGGACGCACCAGCGGTTCCAGTATTTTCCAGCGGTGTATATTTGCAGCTTTCTGTGAAAGCAATATCATGAACGTTGTCCAGGAGCAAGCAAGTGTGGATCGAGCAACTCTTCCACGTTTGCCTGAGCAAATCCTCCTCGATCGACTACTACTGATGCCTTTAAGGTATCTGTTTCTTCTTTCCTTTCTCAATATATTGTTATGCGGTTCAAGCAATCCTTCTGACTACTAATTCGATAAGCTTTTATAGAAAGACTTGTAAATTCTTGATTGGCATATGTCATGCAAAGGGTCCGGGTGATCTCTACCCGATCCGAGAGGCGGGAGGGGATGTCTTCGATCTAGAGGTGTATTTCACGCAGCAGTAGGAGCTTATCTATCCGGACTTAGTTTTATTAATTTTGTGCATGTCTAAGTCTTCTGCTTAGTTTCTTTTTTGAAATTTTGACAGCTATCTCAGTTTATCTGCTCTCGTTCCTTTGCATATTATGGTGGGGAAACCAAATCTTCATTGTGTCCAACTTACTATTTCAGAGTATTGAATTTGTACTACTCTCTCATTGCTGAATATCGGTCTGTGACATCACAATCCTCGACGTCGATCTTATCACGGCCAACTTTGTCACCACTACCCAAGAAAGACATCTCTCCATCGCGCATCGCCGACATCTCGCGGTTGCTTGGGACAAGTATTCATCCGAGTTTGCAGACGAGCTATCTGGAATGTCCCACATTGAAGCAAGTTTTCCACAGTGTTGTCGGTGCTCACCGCAATTTTATGGTAATTTTCTCCACTTTCACATCATAGGCAAGCCTCAATTTGTTTTCAAGACATTCTTTTGAGGAGCGTCTCGATGGTGAACTTGAATCGAGGTTTGTCACTTTGCTGCAAGCAGCGCTTGACTGTTTGGGTACAATATGCGAGATGTTAACGTTCGCACAACTGCGGCCGTTGCTGCAGGAAATCTTGCTTTACATCAAGGTTAGTATAATAAATCAAGGTCGCTCAAAAACGCAAACTTATTATTTGTAGGTAACGTTCGAAGTTTGCCCCGATGGAGGCACAAGTCTTCTTCATCAACTTTTCAAAGTTGTTTTTGGCAAAAACACAGCCAATATCAACTTGGATATGTTGCACTCTATGAGGATGAAGGATCCGATTCCCCCACTAAGTTAGCATTATATGGATTGATTAGCATCTTGTTAAGAGCTGCACTCGTCAAAAATTCAGCTGAAACATCATCGAAACCATTCTTTTGAGATGAAGCTGAGATGTTGTATCTTCGTTGTGCGAATGAGTTCACACTATTCTCCGCATTCATTGGTCGTAAAGAGTATATTGACACATTCATACTCAGGTAGGCTTGCTTTCATTGAAATGATTGGTTTGATACTTGCATTCCAGAAATATCGGATGGCTAAAGAGCGATATGCTTTCAAAAGTGCATAATCCGCCTCCGAACGAAATTGCGCCAGCATTGGAATTGTTTGAAGGATTTGTAACGGTGTTGCTGCAAGTCTACGGAGCTTTTCAGTCCGTTCCATGCAAGCGCGCAGTAAGTCGTTTATCAGCATATTACTGAAATATTATCATTTTGCTTTTATCTCCCTCTGATCTTGGAGGTTTGCAAATTCTGTGTCATTTAGATCCTTGGAGTTATGTGTGAATTGCCTCGTGATGGCATTATTTATGCCATGGCTGATCCGAAGAAAGCGTTGTTTGAGGCTGTAACAACACAGCTTTGTGATCCAATCAGCGGGAATAAAGAGCTGTTAACAGAGGTGAGTCTGCATTCGAAAAAATATGGATTGAATTTATTATTGATATCCTTTTATAAATTTCTATATCTCTTAAATATCTTGCAAAAAAAGTCGAAAGGTGTAGGAAATCGTCGAGTTTCCAAATATGAGCTCATTAAACCGGTGCAAACTTGTTAGTCGTTTTTTTCTGCTTATACGTTTGCTGCCAAAAAAAATCAGAAAAAAAAGCTATGTTCGACGTTATGGGAGCGATAGCATTTATTCCAGATTGCGTTGTATCTGATCGTGCTAGCAAGAACGACAGTGATAAAGTATGACCAAGTCTGCCGAGTTGCTGTCGATCTCATGGAGCGAGCGGTCAAGACCAATGTTTGTGAAGGTGAGGAATGATTCTAGAGCAAGTGCAGCTCACTCATTTCGTTTTGGTCGATAAATCATGACATTCTAGTGCTATCAGCTGTCGAAGTGATACTTTTGGAAATATTATATGTGCAACGTGCTGAAGCTGGAGTGATCTACACCGCTTTTCAAAACAAATCAAAAGCATTGTTCCTCATGAGCAGCCAGCACACTTTACAAGTCTGGACGCTGTTTCTTCATTGGTCAAGGAACGAAGATAATTGGTGAGCTGAATAAGATTATGACACTAAAATTCCAAACTTTCGGGCAAATCGGACATTTGCAGCTGGTCAACAATTTCCCTCGATTTTCTTGCTGCTTATTCCGATTTTGTAGCTGAATGCTCTGAGTCCTCGCTTAGTCATTCTGTATATGCTATAGTTACTGCACTTGCGTGCATGTCTCCTGCTATGTATCGTCCTGTAGACAGTGTATTCCAGCTGTTTCAAAATTCTGTCACTAACGAGGTTGGTATTATGCGAACAAACGACAATTAAAAGCTGGAATTTTTTGTAGGATTTGCCAGCGGGTATTAAATTGAAACAAACTGTTCCATTATTATTTTCTATCTTCAATAATGTAACTGAGGAGAAATTACTTATGCGTCTTGAACAGTTAATTGAAAATCCATTGGACTGGTTGGCGAGGTACTTTTTCATTCAATTTGCGAGAATATATGACGGAACTATATTTTTAGGAATGTTTATGAGCTTCTAGTTTTGTCTTCATCTACTGAGCCAAGAAAAGAAAATTTATTCAGTGAATATTCCCTTTTTCTGTTGCAAACGGTGGTAAATCTAGTCAAAGCAGGTATGCCACCAATCATGTTTGCTTGTTGCATCTAGTATGTCATGGGCTTATGGTTCTCGAGGTTTTACTTGCAGAAAGCTATCGAAAACTATGCACAGCTTTACAAGCATTGCTGAAACAGTGCGATGCTCTTCCCACGCTTCATCTGTTTGCGACTCAACCTAGCCTTTTGTCCCAATGGTTGCAGCTTCTTCACTTGTTCAACATATCTTTGGATAGATACACTACCAACTGCCCTAAAGAGTCAGTGTTTGATGAAATAATTCCGTAGCCATATGTGTGATTTTCAGGTATGTAACTAGACTTATCGCATCATTCTCATCAGCACAAAAAAGTGGCGACTTTGATGAAGTTGCTGCTATCAAAGAGAACAAGTAGGTGTTGTTTTATGCGCGAATACCAAATGTTGCTCATTGAAGTCTTTCAAGTTTTACACTGGCGCTTCCGAAGGAATGCCCTCTTGTCGAGTTCTGCAAGTCAGTTTTTTCCGACTCGCTTTGGTGCACGTGCCCGCGGGTCTTCCGAACATTGCTGTCTCTTGAATCCCAGGATATTTATTACGTGTACGAGTGCGTGGTAAGTTCAGTTTAAGAGATCATGGCTTTTTCATGGTGATTCTGTGGATTTAGCCGGAAAACGAGAGACAAAGCTTCCTTGGACATCTTGTGAATTCGTTGTCTGCCGGACTCACCACTCGCATGGGTAAGTCCTTTTTCTATGCTCTATTGACTTGGCCAAATTCTTCTTCATGTAGTGTTCCCCGACACCTACAAAGCCACTGTGGCTAAGTCACAAGAGATTCTCGACGTTGTTTATGATCTAGTCGAGTACGAAGGCGAGGATAACAAGGAAACACTCCGCACTAAGATTTTTGTGTTATCTCGCCTTTCGCTCATGGTGAGTTTTCTTTCCTCTTCACATTTTCTTGCTAGATTTTGAAAACTTTGTAGGGCAGCCATGATCTGGTTTGGGGTGAATTCAGATCTAATGAAGTGACTGCTCTGTTAGAACATGCTGCTGAAGAAATGGTAATCTTATCTGATTTTCATGCAAGTCAACGAAATCTAATTTTTCCTTCGCATTTTTCAGAATCTTCCTGAATGTAATCTGCGCGCAGTATGTGATGGGCTGATATTCATGTTGGAGCATAGATCGACTAGAGATATCTTTTTTAGAGATATATTCTATGGTATTCATAGTATTCAGAAAGTGCTTCGAACTACTTTTTCTCTGCTAGGCGGGGTAGGTTTCGTTGACCCACTTTTGATGTCTTATGCATGACCTTCGTTTTCTTTTTAGAGGAGGGATTCAACAAATGTGGAGCAATTACAAACCAGCGATAAAATTAGTGTTGTGACGGGTGATAGTACCTCAAATTCTATTTTTGATGATTTTGGTGGCTTTGACGGTAAGATTAAGTTGATTTTGCATTTACCAATTCGAGATTTTATTGACTGCCTTCAATTTCTCTAACTTTTACTTATTTCATAGCGCTTAGGGTTCATATGTGCTTTGTTCAATGATGTTCATGCTGTTTGTCATTTATTCAAATCCAAGGCTCATGGGGACTCGCAGCATCTCGAGAAATTCTGCAGAGGTAAGCTGAGAGACTTTGTTTTTATTCTTGTGAGAAGAGCGTTTGTATTTAGTGCTTTTGCGTCATCCGTTACTGCATCGTCTGGCTATCGTTCCTTACATGGCTTTAAAGTATGTTGAAGTCGTGAAAATTCTCTTTGATGTATTTTTCAGCCAAAATTCCAAACAATTTTGTTGTATTGACAAGAACATTTGTAATTAGTAGGACCCTGGTGGCTGTCATTAACTTGCGCTACCGTAGATGGTCGCACTATGTCAAATAACGTTCATTCCGTCTTTATATGTTGTTTGTCAGGATGAACTGGAAGTTGCGCGTCGAGCTGCGCGGTAACTCTGTACATGTGCCACTGGTCAATATTCATCTCCTCTGCAATATAGATATTCTTTGTGATTTTTCATGGAGAATCAATTGGTAATGCAGCTTGTTGTCTAAGCTCATGCTGCTTTCATTTCTTTTGAGGTTGGGTTGGATCTCACGTCAGCAGTTTGAGGATTTCTGGATGTCACTTTTTGGAGTGCTATCATCGACTCCTTCTGGTAATGAACTTGCAGTGGAAAATTCTGTGGTAAGTTTTCTCAAGTCTTGATCACGCCTTATATATAGATAGTCCAATCGCTATATTTGCAAAATTGGAGCGAAAAATGTAATAAAATCGGATTTTTCCTTATTGCTTTTCAGAATCTGACGGAGCAGATTCTCGCCAGCAGTTTTGCAGTCTCTGTGCTCACGGATATCCTCATATTCAGCTTACTTTATCCTGAACCGGGTAATCCACCTATGGGTCATTTCATTATCAAACATCGCGAACGGACCGAGCCATTTTACCAGTCTAAGTCAGCATTATATCGCAGAACATACTTAGCGCTTCATTATCTCTCTTTTAGGTCTATGCAGCTGCTGTGTCTACTAAAAGCACGTTTATGTCACAGTAATGAGCCATTACAGCTATACCGCCGAAATCTTGAACGTTTGAGCTACGAGGTAAGTTTGTTCTGTTCCTTATAGCTTCATTAATGGTGCATGTTTAAGGGGGCTGAGTACTGTTTTGGGCAACTTTCAGCATTATCGCTATGGACGTTGACTGGCGTTTTGAACGATGAGAATCCGCAGCAAATAGTCAAGGAAGATAGCCCGGTACCTGGTTTCCCTTTTAAAACCAAAATTCAATCTTGTTCGAAGAGATAGCGCTACAAAATGACACGCTTATATCACAAGTCACCTTTTTTTCTTCAAAAAGTGCTTTTGAAATTCCTACTTCTCAATTCATCTTGATTTCTTCGTTAAACGAACTCTCAAAGCAATGCAACTTTTAACTACTTTCGTGGCCATTGGTACTGCGTAGGATATCATTATCTCTGCTTTACATTCTTTTCATGAATTCCAGCGAATGCGCATTTCACTGTCTGAATATCTCTTGAAAACCACGTGTGAACTTGACACCGCTTCATCTGTTCGGGCACTGTTTGAAAATTTTTCGCACTGGCTTGCTCGAGGGTTGGATCAGCTTCCGTTGCCATTGCTATCTTCCACTGTGAAATCGGTAAGCTTTTCTTTTAACCTACGTAGAAGATTCTAGCAGTTTCAATCTAGGTGGCGTTATTGTCTGACTTATTCGACGAGTCATCTACTTATGAAATCTTATATGCTCAAATGAGGAATGTTTTTCGAGGAGGTTTGTACTGTAACAAAATCGAAAAGATACGCTACTATTAGCAAACCGGTTAAGACACTTTACTTACCGTTTTCCAGGCTTTCTCACTTCTCACCCAGATCTCGGATATGTGATTTACTGTATGCTGAAGGCAGTGACTGTCCTCGGGTTGGAGTATGTCGCTAGAGGAATGACCGAAGCGGACATGACCAAACAAATTCTTACATGGGTAAGGCATACGCTCCTGTCACTAAAATGCTAAACGGATTGACTCTGTCTTAGGTGGAATGCGGGTTAACGTCGTGCTTCCCTTTTGTACGCGAAGCTACACTACACGGGTTCATCTACCTCATGCAGTCAATTACGCTAGATCCTTTGAAACCCGTCATTCAGTACGTGACCGGATTTTTGCTGGAAGATTTAAGAAAGCAGCTGGCAGTGACAGATCCGATAAATATCATTGAGTAAGTTTGAGCAGCTAGGTTTTTTATTCAGTCTGGTCTTTTGCAGTATACCGGCTTCCATTGAATACTCCAATCTGTTATGGTCCGTAGCTTTTCGGATCATGGAGGAACCGCTGCAAGTAACTTTCAAAAACACATTGCTCCAGGTATGCTTGACGGAGCTTGAATGCTTTCGCAGCGTTAGTTTTTGTGGCCCAGTTTCTTTTCTGGTAGTAGATCAGTTGAAATGATTGCTGTTTTTCAAGAACTGCTTTTTTCAATGATGTATTATTATACGTTATTATTATTATTATGTTATAGCGTACATGCGAGACATTTACTGTGATGAATCTATCGCCATGTTTGCTACCGGTGGTTACAAGTGGAATCGAAGCGCTTATATTGCACAGTACAAGCTACTTGCCCCAGTTTCTACAGTTGGCTCATAGTACGTCTAGCATTTGCGCTACTTGAATGTTCGGACACTCGTATTTTTAGGTTGTCTCAAGTCGTATGTAACGATCTCTTCCACGTTTCCTTATGTTCTTCGGATTTTCATCGCTTGTGTATTCAAGCGTAAGTCTCGCGCTCTGCCTTGAATGTATTCGAGTAAGGGTCAAGTGTTATTTAGAAGAAGCTGATCCACGTAGAGCAAGTGCCCGCGAATTCGAACCGGCTTTAGATGAATTATATAACATGTATGCTGACGAGAAATTATATACTTTGTTAAGACCACATTATCATTATTTAGTTACCGACGCTGCGATGAACGCACTGCTGGTATGATCAGCAGCGTGTTGCCCTCCGTACTGTTACGACTTTACCCAGAAGAACGCGTATTTAGTATTATTCTGGATTTCTGCTCCCCTACAAAATTTGGTTATTATCCAGGTCATATCTCACATTCGCTACGGATGATGTTTGAGGTATGTAAATGTCTCTTTTTGAAGGAGTTTGCTTGCATGCGTCATTGAGAATGCGCTCATCTTTTGCTAACGTAATCTCCGTAACCTCTCATAGCTTTTGTATTGCAATACTATGTGTTAAAGTTAGCGCTATTATCCTCTCCATGCGATAGTTGTGCTAGTAGAGGATGGGGCTGGAGTGCGGCATACGGTAGCATACTGTACCTATAAACAAGTCCTGCCTGGCAGTAGGAGCGCCCGGGAGCGCATAAGGATATCTTTCTTTCATTTAACAGCGTCTATGTAATTTTTGAACATTTCTCCATATTTAGTTTTTTGAACGAATGCGGGAAAGCCAGCGGCTATCTTCGTTGATGGCATTTGCCCAGCAGGTTGTTACGCGTCTCCAAGCACAACCGGCTACGAACGCAGAACATAGAGCAGTGGCACTATGCTTGCTGGCTGCAGTATCGTCGTACGAGGATGTTGCTTTTAGGTAGCAACGTTTAGGCGTAAATTAAAGTGCTTGTCGATGGATTTACTTTTAGATTCCATATCTACTTGGCCTCTTTGCATTCCTTTGAGGCAAATGAAGAGTCTTTCGAGTTACTCATGAAGAATGCTCTAGAAGAGTCGTCCAACTACTAAAACTTTCTTTAGCTTCACTATAAATGTATCTCATCCTTGTTTTCCTCACTTTCTTTGCATCGTGACCGGTGACTCATAGGCATAAGTGTAGTATGTGTGCTCAAATCAGGTACACATGAATATACCATGTAGATAATAGCATGTAAATTAATAATTTGTAAAGTTTGCTCTGTTATCTGTGTCGCCTTGTCTAGTTTATATCATCCAGCTCTGTTATGACTACTAATTTTTAGAAGTGCACAGCTGGACTGACTTGAGCAACAATTGATGTTCGTGCGATGTCGATTTTGCGAGATTACAAATCGCTAGAGTAAAAATTTATTTCTGTTGTATGTCTGTTTTCCATGAATAATGTCAAGGAAACTAGGAAAAAGTTTATGTTACTGATCCGCTGACGATAGATTTTCACAACTTTTGCATGGATGTGTAACGATTTGCGTCACTAGACTGGTTTTTCAACTCATAATATTAAAGACAAGAAGTCCAAGATCTTGAGCTATTTATTATTTTTATCTGCAAGGATCTTGAGAAAATGCAAACATCAAGAATTTTCTGGTCAGTGGCGTGCACGCTATCGCCGATGATTTGCATTCTACAATGTTCTTTAATGGTTATCGCTAGTTTAGCCAGTAAAGGTGGTCACTGGAGTACGCTCACTGTCAGTAATTCGTAAGCGCGGGAAGGCAGGTGTAGAGTTTACTTTAAAAAAGAAGTTAGCTTTCGTGCCATTTTTTAGGTAATTTTCTCGAGTTACTTTTTTACAAGGCTAAATTGAATTTTTAAAAGAACTTAAAAATTATCCCAATTATTTACAAATATGAACGAGTCACTTGCACATTTTTATAACTTATGTGCCTTTAAAAAATCTCGCGACCCAGAGAATTGTCAGTTATCTGGGTTTTTTTGGTGGGCCCTAGTTACTATTGTCAGATGGATTGGTCCGAGCTCGCAGCAATGAGCGCGACACTCTCAGTGACTATGGCTTTGGTTGTTCTCTCTGTCAGTTCAAATTATTTACAAGCATAAAATATGCTCTAAATATTTTTTACAAGGCTAAACTGAACTTTTGAAAAATCTTAAAAATTATTCTAATTATTTACAAGTTAAACGCGTCACTTGCACATTTTTATAACTCATGTAAGTAATTTTCAAAAATTTCGCGACCCAGAGAACTGCCAGTTACTTGGTGTTTGATGCATTTGAGTCTGAGACGACCTGCTAAATTTCGGTGGTTCCATCAAAAAATCTATACAAAAATTATGACGAGCTCTGGAAAGTGGGAAAAAAGTTGCGCAGTTTCCTGTGGGTTTGCTTCATCCACCCATTACTTGGGCTCCTTCCGACGGTTGTTATAAAGATCTAGAAAAATTGGTAAACTTGGCCTTCTCAAAAAGCATGTGTCGCAAATTTTGGTAATTTTTCGGGAGCTCATTGAGGTAGTAATGTATACCTTCCGGGCCAAAATCGTACAGTAACCAAGACGTCATTATTATCATCTCGTTGAGATTATAGCTAGTGAAGGACAGGAAATGGCAGCCGTTCTCAATTCGGCAGTCACTCTGTGTACTTGTACTAGTTTAGCAGTGCCGCTGAAGTGAGAAAATCCTACATTCAGTTCGTGCAAGTTATTTCAATGTTACTCGTTTCATTTTTATCTTTCTGTAATCAAATGGTGATTCTCTTACCAGCGACCTGCTCCTCTGCAGATCTTCAAAATGGTGCAGCTACACTAAGTGAGTCCCATAGGACCGCTTAATGCAGCTGTCACAAACAGGCAGGAGAAGATTCCTATATTCTGATGAAAGGAATGAGTGAGAAGCTCAGCCTTGAGATTTGTGTTTTATATAAAAACTATGAGGTAAATAAACTTTTTTTTATAAGATCGGGTAATCCGCGGCACAAGGTGTGCACTGCACAACAGGCGCGGAAAGTTCCGTCTTATGATCTTAAGATCTTCTTATTTTCAAAGATTTTACTGTTTGTGCTTTTAAATTGACTGGACCAGGTATACTGATAGTCTTTAGTAGTATGTTCCATAGGAACGGTCTCATTTTAAAATGAGACTAAGATACAGGAGAACCGTAGGCGCTTGACCAACTCGGACTTTTCGCTATTTATCTCACGTCAGATGGTAAGTAACCCAAGTTGATAAGCACAAGTTTAATATGTTAATCACACATGTGCAAAGCGTTGTGTATTATTCAGGTCTTGGAAAGGATAACAGTTATGAAGCTCAGTGCAGTTTCACTACATTGCAGTCTTGTCATTTTCTGAACTAATGTGTGTCAATGCACATAAAATCCGTTTGAGGCGCACTCATTTTGACTGCTTTGGCTGTTTTGTATATACGTTCAAGAAAAACTCCAGGTGCTTCATTGGCGTGAAAGGAGAAAAGCTATGAGAAAGACGCTGTAAAAGCACAATTTGTTCCTTTGGCCAGCTGCATCCGGAATGGTACACGCAACATGGTGATGCGTGTGATCATATGTGCCACTGCACACAAAGTGCACTTTGCCGTCCCCATATTGGATTTTGGCTGCAAAAGCGGAAGAAATGACCGATTACGGAGGGAAGAGAAAAGAAAACGCCGAAAGCAATCACCTGGAGGAGCGGTGCTCACAAAATCCAGCGTGAAGACGGCAGAGGCGGGCATTGTGCAATGACACATATGATTTGATCTAATATATAAAGAATCGTTAGCTCAATTCAAAAATCTTCCAGTTGCGGGAAACCGCGGCGGGTCCTGGAGCGAACGCTCTTCCAAATAGACCTTTAGATTACTGGTTCGCTAGTCATATGAAAGGACTGTAGTGTACAAATGACTCCGCTACTGCTTAATACTGGTTTTGTCGTGTCAAAGAACTATACCGGTAGTATAGCTTTCTCCTTCTGCGAAACAGCTGCTCACCGCCGTTTGCAGCCGTGGTTTTATTCTAAGCGATTACCTTGCACTTCGCTGCAGCTTTCTGAGGTCCGAAGCTTGTCGTCGACGAAGTCAGGCGCAAATTGACGCTCACCGGCAGCGGACTGCTGGTTTTTAGCCGCGGCAGCCATACGGCGGATGCGCGCCGTAGGGTGTGTGAGTGAGAGTGTGTGCGATGTGTGAGAGAGCGTCAGAGCGTGTGTTGTGTGTGCAGTGCGTGTGTTTGTGAATGTATGCGCTGTATGTGAAGAAGTAGCGTCGCGGCCGACAATCGATACGTAAGCGCCAGCCGCGAATGTTACTGCCCCAGCAGCTCGGCAATCATTGGACTCCAAGCTCGCACTTTATTATACCTTTCTGTGTGCAATGACTCTTTGGTGCATTTTTTCACCAATTCGAGTGGATATCCGCACTCTTGAATCGGGATTCAAGGGAAACAGGCACACAGACACCATGCGCAGCTGTCGCGCCATGCATGTTGCGCTTTGCGGACGATTACGGGCTTATAGCACATTGATTACGCTCTCTCATTGATCCACATTTACTGCCTCATTTGCTCTTATCAATGGCTATAGAACAATCAGCACTTTCTGAGAGTTTTCGTGATAATCACCATCTCACCATCGTTCCTAGGTAAACATATGTTTAGGCATTGATGTCAATCCCGCACAAAGTTCCGCTGCACTTACACGAGGGTGTTTGCTCTGATTCACACAGTCTTTGAACCTGTTGCCAGGTTGCGTAGTAGTTGGTGCGGGGTTTTAGCGAGCAAAGCGAAGTAATTTTTTTTGAACAAGTGAAAATAGAGGAATTTTTAGTATATACGAGAAGAAAATCTTAACATTGTCGCTTTTTTATTCTATTTGATAGGTGCTTCCTTGGCCTTGAAACTAAACCGATGTTAGCCAGTGCCCATTCTATCATTCCACATCATGCTTCCCATTCATAGAAATCTATCGAATTTTTTTGATGATTTAATCTCTTGCTTCTTTCTCGAACACACGTTCCATTATCCATTCATTCTATCGGTTATTTTTTTTTCTCTTTCATTTAGCGAAAACCTTTTTATCTCTGCCAGATCACGAGAAAAGCAGTTTTGTTTTGTAGGGTCAAGTTGGATAGCAAACAAGTCACTCTATTTCATCAGTCAGTTGATTTGATTGTGAGCTGTGTTCGGAATAACTGCAATTGTGTATTCATTCCACTGCTTAAATTAAAAAAAAACTTCTTTTCAATTCTCAGTTTTAGCTGGGGATCGAAGGTTTTCCTTCTGCTTTCTGATTACGCTCTTCTTGTCCATTTGCATTCCGAAAAAAATTTGTTTATCTACTCCTGCGTCCTTGTTTATTTTTTAGTTCTTTATGCTTGCACCCTTTTTATCAACTAGTTTTTTGAGCTGATATTCCCTAACGAAAATTACGTCAAGTTTTGACTGGTTCCAATGGACGGCGCTGCTTCCTTGACATTCTTCCATCTATAAAGTATAAATCAGAGATCACCATCGCCGCGTATATTTCTCTACCATTTATGGTGCGTCAGCGAAAGTTGTGTTGAAATAATGCTGCTAAGTTTTGTGCATTACGAATTACATCCTTCTAGCGAAACGAGGGGGAGAGGGGACGATTTGTTTCTTTTTTGTTTGAACAGAATTTATAAACTTGTACCTTGAATGTCATGCACTTGTTTTGTATATGTTTACGCATTACTTTTAAGTATGTATTTCTGAAATCGATTTCTTATTTTTCCTATATCTGGCATCCAATTTTTTTCTGGTACTAGATTTGGAAAGGGTTATTCTGCCTCGCAATGCGTCTTTCTCTAATATAGGCCTATGAAATGCTCAAATCCTGTATATATTCAGCGAAGCTCATTATCTTCCTTGTAACGGAAAAACACTACAAGCTTTCCTTTTTCTTAATTATTTCCTAGAAAATCTTTGCTAGTTTGCTTTCACATAATAACAGCAGTAGACGTCGTTGTTGTGGGGACGTCCCCGGCTTCGCTCCGCCTTTGATTCCATACCTAAACCTGTGACAGCAATCGTTACTCGTCTCCATTCTAAAGTTCCAATTCGAAGTATTCTTCTCATCCCTCGTCTATATTCCTCTTCATCGTCGTTATTCGTCCTAATACTAATTTCCATCTACATAATCTCGTCTATGTATTCGTATGTTGAACGAAACGGATACGCTTGATACTATGGGCATGTTATTTTATAGCATGGCTGCCTTGAATGGCAACCTTGCCGATCACCTTCAGAATCAACTATCGTACACAAGCTTACAGAACAACTGTGGTGACATCAAACCATACGCGCCATCGCCATCTTACAAACGAATGGCGCAAAGTAAGATTCTTATCGTCAGCTAGTTTTTTGTTCGAGATCTTTCTTTGGTTGAGATTTTCATCTTTTCTTTGGACAGGTTTCTGTCGTTTCTTCGGATGTCTTTGATCATCAAATTTTTGATTTATCATTTCAATTTTTGCGCCAACCTCGATCTAGAATTGCTTATTTTGAAGCTTTTTCAAATTGATATCAACCAGCAGTCGTTTTCGACAAATTCCACGTTTTTGCGGATTTTCAAAAAATGATTTGTTGGATTTTTCTTCCAAATACTGAATTCTTAGACATCTGCCTTGCAAGATACTTCCTCTTCTCATTCCTAAAAAATTCTTTCAGGGCGAAAAGTGCCAGAAGGTGAATTGTGCGCGGTTTGTTCTGATCTCGCTACTGGATATCATTATGGAGTAGCAAGTTGTAATGGCTGGTGAGTTTCTTTTCTTTTTCACACACATCGATTTATCCTCGTCTACTATTCTCGCCCTCACCTTGCCTCGTAAACAAGCTCGTACATTAACGTCATTCAAAATAGCAATTTTTATTCGAACATAAGACTGTCTCGCAGTTTGAGATATCTTTTCGAAAAGATTCAGGTGTGGATATTCGAAAATTGTACTTTATTTGAGGTTACTGCTGTATTTACGCTAGCATGAAAGCGGTCAGCAGAGTCATATTAGATTTTTTTTGTGAGCGCTAACAAGCATTTATTTGTTGACAGCTGTTACCGTCAGGTTCATTAGGGTGTAGCCACTCACTGAAATCCAGAGGTACTGTTTGCTTGCTCAAATATTTCTCTGGAAGAATCTGTCAGACGTGGCTTGATAGACCAGTTGGTGTACCAATAAATTCTCAGGAAAACTACCTACCATTCAAGTTTAACAGTGAGCTGATTCCCAAGACAGATAAGCAAGAAAAGTAATCTTGAATCTGGTTGCAGAACCTCTAGATAGTACGGATCAAAAAGCACGATGCGACTTTGATTAGAAAATCTTGCTGTATTTTTGATTTGTCCAAGTTTATGGATACCCACTAAAAATTCTTTGAGCCTTCGAGTTTGTAGATATCCTGCAAACTCCGCTGAAGAATTTCTTCCACCTTGAACTTCATCATCCTAGTCTCTAATCTATTGATTATTTTCTTGGGGGGGGAGGAAGAAAATCGTATTTTTGTATGCACATGTCATCCGGTCTTATCCATCTCTTACGCATCATTTAGGCCACAATTGGGAATTCAGAATTGATCCGTTGATGGAACGTATAGTCGCGAATTTTGGATATAAAGTTTTACAATGCTTTTCCCAACACTCAACGTCCGTGGTCAAATGAGATCTGATCCGACGTATCGAGAAAGAAGTTCTACCCATTTTTCAGACTTGTAGTTTACTTCCACCGTTGAAGGTCTGGAAAAATGATAAATTCTTGGCGCCTATTAGGATTTTTGTTACATAAATATTCTGCCTACATTTGTGTGATCATGTCATTCTTGAACTCCTTTTTTTGAAAAAAAAAAACATTATAACGAAATCAAGTATGCTCTTGTCGCCACGATTCATAGCGTTTTTTTCTCTCACATGAAAAAGGTTTGGGTTCGTCGGTTCTTTGTGAGTCTGTTGTTTATCGCGTAGACCAATGTGTCGACGACAACAGTCGATGCATGTGACGTAGCGTCCGTGTCTCAGTCCGACTTGTACAAAGATCACCCCATCCCCCCTCCCCCCCCCCCCGCAGAATACGCGGGCATAACACATTTTGATGCGCGAGCATCTTTTTGCCGCATTGTTTTTCAAACATCAGAAATCGCAATCTTTTCAGCAAAACATTCTTCCGCAGAACGATCGTCAGCGAGCAAACGTTCATCTGTCAATATAATGGAAATTGTGATGTTAATAAGAGTGAGTGAGAATGTTTGGTAATTTTTTTCCGCAGTCAAAATAAAGCAGTGGCAATCCTCTACAATGCCACTGGAATCCCCGAAACAGTCAGTCGGGGGGATTAATCGACGGCGGTTTGAACGATTATTTACTCAATGATGCACGTGAATTGCTCCAAATCGCGAGAACAAATAAAGCGATAAGTCAATAATGCTGAACATTATGCTCTAAAGGGACAAGAAAAATTATACTGAATTGGCTTCAGCATTGCTAAAGCTAGATGGTCCTCAGAAAATCAGGCTTGCTACAACTGACGATGAGAGATTGCATTAAAATCTTTTTCGGGAGTTCAAACCTTGCTGCTTTTCCAATAAAAATATACCTTTTCCCAACTACTTCCTAAGGCATAATATAAAGTGGCCAATCACTACGCTTTTTCGATATCATAAGGAACATGGGTTTGTCAAGCTAGAATGCTAAATAGGAAAATCTTCAGAGAATGCACAAACCCTTACATTCTGATATCTCGGATGAGTTTTCCATTTCTTCCAAATTAAATAATCAAAGACGAAATCGTATTATGTTTGTCCGTGGAGAGTTTCCGCGTTTATTGTTCAAGGTCGATATGGAACGATACGTTAATTAACGTTCTTTACAATCTGTGACAAATTGTCGCTCGGATAGATAGGGGTGCTCAATGCCGATTTCAATAACTTCCTAGTAGTTGATATTGGAAGAAGTAGGTGCAATCGAGAAAGTTGTAACCGAAAAGAATTTGGTGGAGCAGAAATTAGTTGAAAATTTCTTTGCGTGGCTGAAAATAGTCCCTGACAAATTCAAGGGAATTGATCAAGAGACAAGTTTTTGATAATTGATGTATTATTCTCAGTTTTATATAGTTAACATTTGTATAAAATTTGTTTAGATATACGATGTGCTTGTCGACATTGTCGGTTCAACAAATGCTTGGCCGTGGGAATGGATGCGAAAGGTACAGTTTTTGATAATTTGTATTCTATGACGTCTCGAGAATGGAGATTTCCCTTTGGTCAGACTGAAAATAATTTATTAGTAGTCACTTCCGATGTTAAACTTGTAGCGACTTAGTGCTCTCAATTTATCTAGATAAGATGTCCATCTTTTCTTGTAAGATCGTAGTATTGATCAAATTGTCATGCAAAAATGGCATCTAGATAGATGGCCGTCTGACCATGCGAATTGATAATATAGATTTTTAATGGTTAAGTAGAATTTGTGAGGTAAGCCAAAAATAAGCCTCATTTGCTGTATTAAATAACGTGTCTGGATTCCCTGAAATTGCATGAAAGTTACGCTGAGAAGGAATGTTTTTTGTTGTCAAATGAACTATAATGAGCGTATATCAAAAAGATTCACCTTACAAGGGAAGTCACTTAACTTAGGTCGGGCTTTTGAAATGGGACACATATGGTTGGAATCAGCTTGAAACGCTAATTTCAAATCTGCTTTCGTTAGCTGGAAGCATTCTTCTGAAGCGAGTTAGAATAACGAAATTCCTTGCTCATGCCTCTATGCTCTCTAATCCATATGGTTTTTCTTCTTCACAAAAAATGATGATGAGCTATTCTTTTGGCTTGTACAGATAATCTTGCAATATGAAATAACATAATCTTTGCATCGTATAATTACCTCCTGATAGTCTTCATTGTGGATTAACAGAAACGAAAGTTAGTTCATGAAATGATAATACTTGCATTCATGAAAATGCGCTAAAAGATCCTAACAATTGAACTTCCAAACATATCTCATTGAGATCGTACCGTTCAATTTTTCAGCTAATTATCTCATCACTTATTTTAGCGATCCAAAATGATCGAGATCGGATAGGACCTACAAAGAAAGCAAAAATAAGTAGCGGATCGGATGAGGACCAAGCGATAACTCCTCATCGGTTGCAAGACCAGGTATGGGATGTACGTATTTACAATACTATCATTTTTTACATACTTTTATGGTGTTATGTGTGCTTTGTGTTGAATGTGAAATTCGTATGTGATTAGTCTAGTCAGCCTGTCCCCTAGAGACATTTGAAAATTATAAAAAAAGCCGGTGGGAGTAGGTTAGAATGGTACGGTTATGACTTGAATCTGTCAAAAAATGATAGTTTGTTTTTTGTGAACCTCTTCTTATCACTGATCAATTGAGCCTTGCAATCAATAAACTAACTCCTAGACATCTTATATCAGCAATAAAATCAATAGGTTGAGTATCACCAATCAAGATTAAGGGGCATCTCTTGAGCTTTGGCCTCTATGAACTCTCAAAAGCTGTGTCTCCATACTACTTTCGCTATAATTACAGTAATTAGAGGTCAGATCATATAGTTAAAGACATGATCATTCCTTCCGCCCTAATGCTCTCTTAGTAAGCGGATAAAATGATTTTGGATAAGCTTCAGATTGACGGGTTCTGCTCTTTGAGATCTAGGTGTTCAGGCTACTTTTGCATACGTCATTGACATTCTACTACTTTAGCTATAGATGTGGTAGAGTGTATATTTAGGAAATCGTCGAGCAACTAACTCAAGTGGAAGGTTTATGCCAAGAATTGAGACGATGTGTCATACGCGATGTTTCAACGGTTCAACAAGCTTTATCCTCTCCATGCCTTTTGTTTGAAACGCCTGAATTGACAATAGATGTGAGTTATAGAATTTTCAGGAGTTAATGGAATCGAAATCGGAAAAAGTAGATAGTCTTCAAAAGAATGTGATTCAGCCCAGTACCGTGTTCAAAGAGTTGTATCCGGCTTCAATGAACGACATCCGAATGTGGAACATCCGTGAGATGAGGATTTGTATCGAATGGGGCAAAACGTTTGATGCTTACCAACGACTATCCCATTTTGATCAGGTTAGTGGTTGAAATAAGTATTACCAAGTCAAAATTAACAGAAAATTCGCTGGGTTGAGTTAAATGAGAGTTGGAAGAATTCGGAAATATTTGATGTATCGCAATAAGAACTGAGCATTAGTCTTTCTTTATTTGCAAAAATCTACTGTAATTCAATTTGTCGTTTTGCTTACGTAGTTACATAGTTATACAAATAGGCTCGATTAGGTAAAAAGCAGCCATAATTTCAATTGCTAGACGAAAGACCGAAAATCAGCTTTTATCTAGGGACCAAACATAGACGTCTGAGTTTATATTTTTGTCAAATTGATCTCTTGAGCTTCGAGAAAAAGGGGAACTCATAAATTTTCTACCTTACGTGTTTTGGAGAAGCTTGTTACTGCGTCGTTTCCATTACAGTATGGGAAAAGTAATTTTGTTAATCAACACAGTTTGACAATAATAGTGGTAGCAAAAATTTCGTTTCTCTTGGAATTCATTTCTCTTGGAGCGTTTCACAGACATCTCCTTCCTTTCTACTGAGTTGCAAAAAAATAGTAAGCTGAAAGCTTGAAAAGCCGAAAAAGTTCCTCATTGTTATATCCGCAGTGTAGCATGTTTACCGAAAAAGTTCCTCTAATATACTATTTAGTTTGCCTTGGTACGAAATTTCGCTTTTGCCTTCAATCTCCTGAATCGAGTTTTTTACTCGCCTGATCATGGACCGGACAAGATCGTATTTCAAAATGGCGCATTTATCATGCGGCAACCTCAGCAACAGGTAAACCTTTCTTCTTTTTTCCACAAAACATGTATCATTTGTTAATTCTATTTTATTTTTACCCTTTGCAGGTGCAACTGTCTGGTTGTCGACCAATTTACACACGGCAAATGGATGAGATTATGCTGCCGTTTCGGCGGCTTCAGTTGTCTGTGTCTGAATTTGCAACCTTCAAAGCAGCTTTGTTCTTCAATCCCGGTATGATTTTTGGTCTATTTTGGAAGTTTAGAATTGTGCGTGATATTTTAACGAATCTAGATGCTCTTGATCTGTCAAACCAAGCAAAACCGGAGGTGTACGAAGAGCGAAACAAATACCTAAGCGCGCTTTTCACATGCATCACCAATAAACTTGGAATGGCTGCTGGTGTTCAAAAATATGGCAGTTTGCTGATGATGACGGCAAGTATACAGGTAATTTTCCCCAATTTTTTTTCAAGGTCTCATTATCTCATTTTCGCCCACACTTCCAGAATATTCTTGCCCAAAATGAGGAAAACATGCAAGTGATGGAGCTGTTCAAAAACTGGGAAGTGGATCCATTTGTCAAGGAGCTGTGTATGAAGAGAGCTTGACGAAGGCATCTACCCTTGTTAACCTCAAATCATCTTCCCATCCGATGGGACTAGAGCCCTAGATAGATACCGATGTATTAATGCATGTACTGATCTCCCCCGTTTTGTTGCAGCTGCGCTCTCACAAAATGGAAAAAGTTCGGAAAGCTGGGAGCATTTACTAAGATTTCCAGTTCAAACTAGTAACGAAAAGGAGAGCGGATACGGTTTAGTCTATAAATGGCAGATATTGTACCCTCTAATTCATCTCTTTAGGTAATAATGATGGAATGTCGGTGAATTCTTTACAAGGATTCATCAAAAGTGTAGTGTGAGACATTTTGCACCGCTACAGTATGCTACCGTAGCCGCTGCTAGTTAGTTGGTTGCGGATACGGTGCAGTTGTGCAAAAGAGCCTACACTCTTATTAGGCAAGAATGTTGAATTTTGCTTTCATCTTTTGTGATGATTGGCATCTTTCAGACTGCATTATTTCTAATGCGGTTTTTCAAATTTGCTTTCCATCTCTGTGCAACCTGCTGTTTGTAGGTTGAGCTGTGAATTTGCACTCATAAAAGCAATTCATATTATGCTTTTTATCGTGTAAAGCCCTTACATCGTCCAATTGTGAATTAAGTGCGGATCACTAATCTCGGGCGGTGATTACTGTAGCTCTCGGTTTATAGTAGAAGTTCCCGGTAGAGTTTGCGTTTTGTACCGCAATATTATCTTCTTTTGTTTTTCTTTTGCATGCAGTTCTTATGGTGTGTTGGATTCTAGTGTATTGATCATGGTTGACATGTATCTAGAGTCATTTAGGGACTACTTGTATCTTTTTCTATTCTTCAGTTCCCCCCCCCCCCCCCTTCCCCTATTTTGTCTGAATGTTTTTTTTTCTGCTGACGGATATACTGCTTTGATCAGGAATATCATAGATACGTGCATACATCGATTCTTCGTTCTTTTTTCCCAGTACCCTCGTCGCAAACTGGTTTTGTCTACATTTATTATATGCGCTGATAGTGTTCAATAGAATTGTTTAGTTACAGAGAATTTTTTTTGATAGATATCTCATATTCATTGTACAGTATCCTATCCATGTCGAGAGTGACTGTCCTACTTTTCTCTTCACTCCCCCTCAACGGACGTGATTTTCATCTTCCAGTGAGGGAATATTTGCTTCCGTTGTGCCAACTTGTCTATTTTCATACCGGTAATCAACATTATCTTCTTTTGTTATTGCACGTCTTTGAAGGTGGCGATAGCTACTGCTTTCTCTTGATATCAAAAAAGTCAGTCAGTCGACAATACAATTACCTCTTCGTAATGAGATGTGGTACATCTGTTCTACCTCAGTCGATCTGTAGCCTTTGGATATATTGTTTATCTGTGGCAACTTCTAATGAGCGCTTTGGTTTATGTGCTTCTATTCTAAATGTGCAAATAAAATTTTTCTCTGCTATCGGACAAGCCCATACTCATATTAATAACCTCACCTATAAAAAAGCCTTATTTGCGCGTAAGAATTTTTTTTTCCAAAAAGTGGCATGTGCAAGGTATTGCAGATTTATACTTTGACGGTGTAATTGCACAAAAATCTAAGGATTTGAAGGGGACATTAGGGAGTAATGGAATTGAATTTATAAGTGAACTTACTACGGGCAATCTCTGTTACAGGTTTTTAAATTTTATTATTGCAAAATTAGTGAAATAGGGAATCGTCTTCGGTATCTTGTTTAACTCATGGTGGCAATCCCTCTTTATGTCAATGTTGAACAAAGAAATTGAAATTGATGTTATGGTTAGCTTTTATCAATGGCAAATTCAAAATGCAGAATCAAACCAAGGCTGTGCTGTGGTGATCTGAAAAATGAAATGAGAACACCATAAAACATTATCGAACTATTTTCAAGTCTTAACTATAAGGGTAAGGCTCACAAAACATCTGCCGATTTCTGAGCACGAGCTGCAAAAGCGGAAAACGTTCTTTTGCAACGACTCCGTTAAGAGGAGTCACAAATCAGACTAAAAGCTGTGTACTTATACAAGCAAGGGGTTTTTCCATTCAAATTCTTCCTCTTCTATTCTTACCTACAATCAAATTCTTCTCGTTCAGATAGTTGCAAATTAGCACTTTGGAATATCAGCGTTATCGCTTTACACATAATTGAAATCTTCATGGAGAATGTCTTACGACTTTCTAAAGGCAGCGGCTCGGCAGATTCTCGACTTGAAGTTTTTGTGCTTACCTGGGGTAATTCGAGGTGCTGATTCCGAAAATCCACATTGAAGAGCGCGAAAATGGCAAGAACCACCATTTCCCAAGGCCTCCCACTTTGAATTTGGACGAGTGGAGCACGTCCCGCCATGGTTAGAGACGCAGAATCGTTGCGAGACCCTCGCAGTTATAACATTACGGCATGCCTTCTCTGATGCGTCAGAGAGATTCTTAAGCACGTCCGCGCGTATTAGAATAGCTTGCGCGTACGGGGTTTTCTAGGCAAGGGCAGCATGCTGTGCGCTCGGACCTGCTCGGGGGACGGAACTTAGGAACCCGAATCCAATGGAGGACGGAACTTAGGAACCCGAGCCTAATTAGCTCGATTCGGGGAGTGCCTGCAGGTTACAGTCATGCTCGCTGGCTCCGATTACTCACTAGGACATAGCAACAATCTAAGCCCCGCCCCCTTGAGAGCCTGTTTGGAACCTAGCCAAGGAATGCTGAAAATCTCAATTGAATTTCAGGGCTGGCTCTAAGCCAAAAACCTTCAAAGTCATCGTGCGAAGGTGAAATTAGGCTCAAACGAAAGAGAAAAACCGTGCCATCATCATAAAGCAGCTACTGATTTAAACTGATTGAACACAACATTTTCTTGGTTCAAAACTTTATTCAAGTGTTAAATTACTGAGAAATCATTCAAAAAACCGTCAAGTTTTTCAAAAAAAAATTATTTGAGTGCTAAATCCTAGCAAAAAACTAGAATAACATTAGACAAATGACAGTTCAAAAACTCTCAAGATTGATAGTTATTTGCTGAAATGCTGAAATTTAGGCGAAAGACTAGAAAATCAATTGCGAAACGACAGCTTATAAAATTCTTAAAAATAAAAGTTTGTTTGTGTGCGGAAATCTGGGCAAAAGACTAGAATATCAAGAAATGAAAAATCAAGAACTTCACTAATGATACTGCTGTGTCACATCAGAATCGTCTGTCGTCTGTCAACGACAGACGATTCTGATGTGCGAAGAACATCCTGCTAATATGCTGGAAGCAATGACCTCAACTTACGCAAGGAAAGGTTGCAATAACAGTTTGAGGCCAAATTTCCCTTATAAATAGAAGCACGTTTGGATATTTTGATACATTTTGATTCACCCTCAAAAGTTCGGAAAAAATCAAACGAAAGGATGAGAGAGGCAAAGCCACACTTAATCGAGCATAACGACATTATTTTTTGATGAGCACGGCTCGAAAAATTTGTAAATCTTTATTTTCAGGCAATTGTGGTAGTTTTAACTACTGAGTGGCATTTCTTGATGTGTTTTGCTCAAAATTCAGCACTCAAAAAAACTATTATTTCTGAGAAGTTCTTGATTTTCATTTCTTGATATTCTAGTCTTTTGCCCAGACTTCCGCACACAAACAAACTTTTATTTTTGTGAATTTTATAAACTGTCGTTTCGCAATTGATTTTCTAGTCTTTCGCCTAAATTTCAGCATTTAAATAACTATCAATCTTGAGAGTTTTTGAACTGTCATTTCTCGAATGATATTCTAGTCTTTTGCCCGGATTTAGCACTCAAATAAATTATTTCTGAAACTTGACGGTTTTTTGAATAATTTCTCAGTAATTTAACACTTGAATAAAGTTTTGGACCAAGAAAATGTTGTGTTCAATCAGTTCAATTCGGTAGCTGCTTTATGATGATGGCACGGTTTTTCTCTTTCGTTTGAGCCTAATTTCACCTTCGTACGATGACTTTGAAGGTTTTCGGCTTAGAGCCAGCCCTGAAATTCAATTGAGATTTTCAGCATTCCTTGGCTAGGTTCCAAACAGGCTCTCAAGGGGGCGGGGCTTAGATTGTTGCTATGTCCTAGTGAGTGATCGGAGCCAGCGAGCATGACTGTAACCTGCAGGCACTCCCCGAATCGAGCTAATTAGGCTCGGGTTCCTAAGTTCCGTCCCCCATTGGGTTCGGGTTCCTAAGTTACCGCACCCGACCTGCTCTGTTTCCATGTTTGGGGTGCAAGCATCCTTCCATGTCAAAATCTCGGAATATTCGGTTTTGGCGAGCTGCTGCCTTTAAGTCGCTCAATATTATTCACTTGTTAACTGACTAGGGTGTAGAGTTGTAAAGGTCGTGATTGATTAATGCCATAACACTTTTCGATAACACCAGAAATCAATCTAGAAGTTATTTTAGGGAAGACACAAAAGGTGTACTGTGGGCATCGTGTATCTCGTCCACTTTCGAAACATTTTCTTTCTGCAGTGAAGGAAGGAGAAAGCATTCCTAAAAGGGGTAGCTTCTGATGGCACTTAGAGACCGAAATTCTCTTAAAATCACTGCTTGGTTGCTCACGCTATAGATACGACTTTTTATTCAGTCAAAATAAAAATCAGCAATAACAACATCAAAAAACATTTGCTTGTTAACGCAATGTGCTGTAGAAAACAAAGCTACTACAGAAGCGATAACAGGAAAAGATGACGTATGACACAACAGAGTAGACATATTAGAATGGATACATGCCAGTCGATATAATTAACATGAAATGTGAATCAGGATGGTTACTTGATTGTGAATGCGCTCGTACTCGAAGATAATGAATAGATCCTGGTTGTAATTGACGAGACGAGGTGTACACAATACCTTCACCTTGACGGAAACGAATTGAGAATGGCCCCGACTTGGTTCTTCCTAAATGTGGGGGACTCTATTGTGCTCAAAGAATGAGAAAAATTTCGTAGTTAGATCAACTTCTTACCTAGTTGAAGACCTTCTTCTGTGTCGGATATAGCGAAGATGGTATCTCTCAACACGTTTCCGGTTTTATCATGTGCAAGGACCTTACCAATGCCTTCTTCTGCAATACAGAAATTCAGTGGACCCTTTTTATATAGGTACGGTATATATGAGTTAGGAGCACGGACATTGAACGATATTGAATTGAGAGCTTTTTATGTAATATTGACGAGCTGTGGTTCGTTGTTATCATTCTAGGTGCGTGAATCGTTTAGACAAGTGGATTAGGAAGCTGTGGCAAATTTGTAGGGGAGCAGAAATCCAGAATAATACTAAATACGCGTTCTTCTGGGTAAAGTCGTAACAGTACGGAGGGCAACACGCTGCTGATCATACCAGCAGTGCGTTCATCGCAGCGTCGGTAACTAAATAATGATAATGTGGTCTTAACAAAGTATATAATTTCTCGTCAGCATACATGTTATATAATTCATCTAAAGCCGGTTCGAATTCGCGGGCACTTGCTCTACGTGGATCAGCTTCTTCTAAATAACACTTGACCCTTACTCGAATACATTCAAGGCAGAGCGCGAGACTTACGCTTGAATACACAAGCGATGAAAATCCGAAGAACATAAGGAAACGTGGAAGAGATCGTTACATACGACTTGAGACAACCTAAAAATACGAGTGTCCGAACATTCAAGTAGCGCAAATGCTAGACGTACTATGAGCCAACTGTAGAAACTGGGGCAAGTAGCTTGTACTGTGCAATATAAGCGCTTCGATTCCACTTGTAACCACCGGTAGCAAACATGGCGATAGATTCATCACAGTAAATGTCTCGCATGTACGCTATAACATAATAATAATAATAACGTATAATAATACATCATTGAAAAAAGCAGTTCTTGAAAAACAGCAATCATTTCAACTGATCTACTACCAGAAAAGAAACTGGGCCACAAAAACTAACGCTGCGAAAGCATTCAAGCTCCGTCAAGCATACCTGGAGCAATGTGTTTTTGAAAGTTACTTGCAGCGGTTCCTCCATGATCCGAAAAGCTACGGACCATAACAGATTGGAGTATTCAATGGAAGCCGGTATACTGCAAAAGACCAGACTGAATAAAAAACCTAGCTGCTCAAACTTACTCAATGATATTTATCGGATCTGTCACTGCCAGCTGCTTTCTTAAATCTTCCAGCAAAAATCCGGTCACGTACTGAATGACGGGTTTCAAAGGATCTAGCGTAATTGACTGCATGAGGTAGATGAACCCGTGTAGTGTAGCTTCGCGTACAAAAGGGAAGCACGACGTTAACCCGCATTCCACCTAAGACAGAGTCAATCCGTTTAGCATTTTAGTGACAGGAGCGTATGCCTTACCCATGTAAGAATTTGTTTGGTCATGTCCGCTTCGGTCATTCCTCTAGCGACATACTCCAACCCGAGGACAGTCACTGCCTTCAGCATACAGTAAATCACATATCCGAGATCTGGGTGAGAAGTGAGAAAGCCTGGAAAACGGTAAGTAAAGTGTCTTAACCGGTTTGCTAATAGTAGCGTATCTTTTCGATTTTGTTACAGTACAAACCTCCTCGAAAAACATTCCTCATTTGAGCATATAAGATTTCATAAGTAGATGACTCGTCGAATAAGTCAGACAATAACGCCACCTAGATTGAAACTGCTAGAATCTTCTACGTAGGTTAAAAGAAAAGCTTACCGATTTCACAGTGGAAGATAGCAATGGCAACGGAAGCTGATCCAACCCTCGAGCAAGCCAGTGCGAAAAATTTTCAAACAGTGCCCGAACAGATGAAGCGGTGTCAAGTTCACACGTGGTTTTCAAGAGATATTCAGACAGTGAAATGCGCATTCGCTGGAATTCATGAAAAGAATGTAAAGCAGAGATAATGATATCCTACGCAGTACCAATGGCCACGAAAGTAGTTAAAAGTTGCATTGCTTTGAGAGTTCGTTTAACGAAGAAATCAAGATGAATTGAGAAGTAGGAATTTCAAAAGCACTTTTTGAAGAAAAAAAGGTGACTTGTGATATAAGCGTGTCATTTTGTAGCGCTATCTCTTCGAACAAGATTGAATTTTGGTTTTAAAAGGGAAACCAGGTACCGGGCTATCTTCCTTGACTATTTGCTGCGGATTCTCATCGTTCAAAACGCCAGTCAACGTCCATAGCGATAATGCTGAAAGTTGCCCAAAACAGTACTCAGCCCCCTTAAACATGCACCATTAATGAAGCTATAAGGAACAGAACAAACTTACCTCGTAGCTCAAACGTTCAAGATTTCGGCGGTATAGCTGTAATGGCTCATTACTGTGACATAAACGTGCTTTTAGTAGACACAGCAGCTGCATAGACCTAAAAGAGAGATAATGAAGCGCTAAGTATGTTCTGCGATATAATGCTGACTTAGACTGGTAAAATGGCTCGGTCCGTTCGCGATGTTTGATAATGAAATGACCCATAGGTGGATTACCCGGTTCAGGATAAAGTAAGCTGAATATGAGGATATCCGTGAGCACAGAGACTGCAAAACTGCTGGCGAGAATCTGCTCCGTCAGATTCTGAAAAGCAATAAGGAAAAATCCGATTTTATTACATTTTTCGCTCCAATTTTGCAAATATAGCGATTGGACTATCTATATATAAGGCGTGATCAAGACTTGAGAAAACTTACCACAGAATTTTCCACTGCAAGTTCATTACCAGAAGGAGTCGATGATAGCACTCCAAAAAGTGACATCCAGAAATCCTCAAACTGCTGACGTGAGATCCAACCCAACCTCAAAAGAAATGAAAGCAGCATGAGCTTAGACAACAAGCTGCATTACCAATTGATTCTCCATGAAAAATCACAAAGAATATCTATATTGCAGAGGAGATGAATATTGACCAGTGGCACATGTACAGAGTTACCGCGCAGCTCGACGCGCAACTTCCAGTTCATCCTGACAAACAACATATAAAGACGGAATGAACGTTATTTGACATAGTGCGACCATCTACGGTAGCGCAAGTTAATGACAGCCACCAGGGTCCTACTAATTACAAATGTTCTTGTCAATACAACAAAATTGTTTGGAATTTTGGCTGAAAAATACATCAAAGAGAATTTTCACGACTTCAACATACTTTAAAGCCATGTAAGGAACGATAGCCAGACGATGCAGTAACGGATGACGCAAAAGCACTAAATACAAACGCTCTTCTCACAAGAATAAAAACAAAGTCTCTCAGCTTACCTCTGCAGAATTTCTCGAGATGCTGCGAGTCCCCATGAGCCTTGGATTTGAATAAATGACAAACAGCATGAACATCATTGAACAAAGCACATATGAACCCTAAGCGCTATGAAATAAGTAAAAGTTAGAGAAATTGAAGGCAGTCAATAAAATCTCGAATTGGTAAATGCAAAATCAACTTAATCTTACCGTCAAAGCCACCAAAATCATCAAAAATAGAATTTGAGGTACTATCACCCGTCACAACACTAATTTTATCGCTGGTTTGTAATTGCTCCACATTTGTTGAATCCCTCCTCTAAAAAGAAAACGAAGGTCATGCATAAGACATCAAAAGTGGGTCAACGAAACCTACCCCGCCTAGCAGAGAAAAAGTAGTTCGAAGCACTTTCTGAATACTATGAATACCATAGAATATATCTCTAAAAAAGATATCTCTAGTCGATCTATGCTCCAACATGAATATCAGCCCATCACATACTGCGCGCAGATTACATTCAGGAAGATTCTGAAAAATGCGAAGGAAAAATTAGATTTCGTTGACTTGCATGAAAATCAGATAAGATTACCATTTCTTCAGCAGCATGTTCTAACAGAGCAGTCACTTCATTAGATCTGAATTCACCCCAAACCAGATCATGGCTGCCCTACAAAGTTTTCAAAATCTAGCAAGAAAATGTGAAGAGGAAAGAAAACTCACCATGAGCGAAAGGCGAGATAACACAAAAATCTTAGTGCGGAGTGTTTCCTTGTTATCCTCGCCTTCGTACTCGACTAGATCATAAACAACGTCGAGAATCTCTTGTGACTTAGCCACAGTGGCTTTGTAGGTGTCGGGGAACACTACATGAAGAAGAATTTGGCCAAGTCAATAGAGCATAGAAAAAGGACTTACCCATGCGAGTGGTGAGTCCGGCAGACAACGAATTCACAAGATGTCCAAGGAAGCTTTGTCTCTCGTTTTCCGGCTAAATCCACAGAATCACCATGAAAAAGCCATGATCTCTTAAACTGAACTTACCACGCACTCGTACACGTAATAAATATCCTGGGATTCAAGAGACAGCAATGTTCGGAAGACCCGCGGGCACGTGCACCAAAGCGAGTCGGAAAAAACTGACTTGCAGAACTCGACAAGAGGGCATTCCTTCGGAAGCGCCAGTGTAAAACTTGAAAGACTTCAATGAGCAACATTTGGTATTCGCGCATAAAACAACACCTACTTGTTCTCTTTGATAGCAGCAACTTCATCAAAGTCGCCACTTTTTTGTGCTGATGAGAATGATGCGATAAGTCTAGTTACATACCTGAAAATCACACATATGGCTACGGAATTATTTCATCAAACACTGACTCTTTAGGGCAGTTGGTAGTGTATCTATCCAAAGATATGTTGAACAAGTGAAGAAGCTGCAACCATTGGGACAAAAGGCTAGGTTGAGTCGCAAACAGATGAAGCGTGGGAAGAGCATCGCACTGTTTCAGCAATGCTTGTAAAGCTGTGCATAGTTTTCGATAGCTTTCTGCAAGTAAAACCTCGAGAACCATAAGCCCATGACATACTAGATGCAACAAGCAAACATGATTGGTGGCATACCTGCTTTGACTAGATTTACCACCGTTT